GGCTAAGTCCTTCCACGCCGACAGGGCCTGCCGCCAAAGCCCGTGACGGATTCTCCCGGTTCTTCGCCACCCCGGCTGCAGCCTGGGAAAGAAGGAGGCGGCAGCTGTTTTTGCTTAGGCAATAAAAAGTGCTCAAGTGTCGGACTCTGTGGAGAAAGGTCAAAGGAAGGCCACTGGGAGACGGCTCCTGACCCCTGGCTGCTTTGGGGTGTGGCCCCCGCTGGGCACACGAAACCCACAAAGCCCTTTAAAAAATGAAAGAAATAGTGTAATTCTAGTCTCGGAACGGGTGTGTGCTGTCAGCAAGGCCCTGTTTATGAATTTGAGAGGTTTAAGCCGTGTCAGGCACTGGCTTTCAGATTTCCTTGCCCTGCTGGTGAGGAACCTCTAGATCAGGATTTCCCAAACTTGGGTCTCCAGCTGTTTCTGGACTACAACTCCCATCATCCCTGGCTAGCAGCACCAGTGGTCAGGGATGAATGGAATTGTAGTCTGAAAACAGCTGGAGACCCAAATTTAGGAAGTACTGCTCTAGATGATGAGAAGGATTTTGGGGATACAGTACAGTGGAACCTCGAGTTACAGACACTTCAGGTTACAGACTCCGCTAACCCAGAAATAGTACCTCGGGTTAAGAACTTTGCTTCAGGATGAGAACAGAAATCGCGCGGCAGCAGCGGGAGGCCCCATTAGCTAAAGTGGTGCTTCAGGTTAAAAACAGTTTCAGGTTAAGAACGGACCTCCAGAACGAATTAAGTTCTTAACCTGAGGTACCACTGTATTAATAATTTATTTTTTGGACCCATCTGACTGGGTTTTCCCAGCCACTCTGAGCAGCTTCCAACAAAATAGACAAAAACACAACAGATCATCATACATTAAAAACTTCCCGGTACAGGGCTCCCTTCAGATGTCTACGGCTGAGTTGATATCGGGGGTGATAGCCAGTCCTATGGGACCTAACCATCACTCCATGTTGAACTCGATAAATGCTCTAGAGGTCATTGGTTGCCAATTAGCTAAGTACCGCAGACCCTCTGTTTTTCAAAAGCCAAGCCATGGGCCCCCTACTTTTGAAGATTTTTATATACAGTATCTATGGTAGTTTTTGTTGTGTGAATGGAGCCACGGACACCCTGGGTGAGTTACATGGACCTTCTGAGGTCCGCAGACCACCAATTGGAAACCACTGCTCTAGATTATACCCATTGCTCTCCTCCAGATCTGCATTTCAAAGGAAAATCCAGGGGTGCTTGTTTAGGATCGCGGGGAAACGGTTGATAAACTTCCATAGGATGCTGGAGTTTCCTTCGACCACGTTCTGAAAGCCGCCAGCTTAGAGCACGTATCTCTATACTTGCTTTGGACCAGCACTCCCATTGGAGTTGTAGTCCAAATGGTACGGAGGGCACCAGCTTGGCGAAGGCTGATCTATGCGAATCGGCAGCTGCAGATAAAACAGTCACCTTGCAGTATTGTGAATTGCCCATGGGCACAGCTTCTGGTCCTTTTGAGTCCAAACCATGTGTGGGGATCCTTTGGCCCTCCAGATGTTGCTGACAGCATCTTTGGCCAATTGGCCACTTGTAGTTTGGGAACATCTGGAGGGCCAATGGTCCCCCTGTGCCTGATCTAGACAGTGACTCCAATTCCCATCAGCATTGGCCATTGGTCACACTGGCTGGGGCTGGTGGGAATTGGAGCCCAATTGTAAATCAGGATTCCACCTCTCCTAAACTTGTCTAACATGTCTGTCTGTTTACCAAAACCCTTAATCATTGAGCTGAAAGAAGCTCATGGGATTGTTTGGGTTTGTTTTGTTAAAAATCAAATTTTAGCTGTGTTTAAATTTGTAATCAGACTAGCTTTAGCTATATTGTAAGCCGCTTTGTGGGGATTTTTTGCCTCGAAAGTATAAAAACCAATATAAATAATAATCCAAAACAAAAGAATGAGTGGACCTCTGGTTCCACAGCCTCTGCTTTCAATGAAGAATTTGCCGCACACTTGCTAGATTACAGTTCCTAAAATGCAGGTGGGAGTGTCAGTTAAAGTTGCTTAATTTGTTCTAATAGATGTACCTGGAAAAGTATATGCCAGTAAAACCTCTGTCCTGATATTACCTGAATTGAAATTAATGAAATGCTCTGTTTTCTCTCTGCTCAACCCTGCTTCCTGGGAAATACTTATTTTTATTTATTTAACAAAATGTATACGCAAATTGTTTCTAGGAAAACCTCTAAGCCTATTCACAAAACCAGTTTAATATTTTCTTTCCAAGGGAAAAAAAGAGGAAAGGAAACAGCAAAGTGGTTTAAAAAAATATGAAATAAAATATTAAAATGTTTGATTTAATACAGGTAATTGCAACTTTTCAAAAGATGACTAAAATCAACAGCCTCTGAAAAGAAATAACACACACGTAACTTCTACATGTTTAGATGAGCTTCCATAAGCAAATAATGTATGTTTTAAACAGGTGTCAAAAAGAGTACAGTTATGGCGGCTGCCTGATGTCAGTAGATCCAAATAGATCTATTATAGAATCATAGAGTTGGAAGGGACCCCCTGCAATGCAGGAATCTCAACTACCTAGATCTACCATCTATGGGAAGTTTAAAAACATGCAGAGGCGCAGGGCATTGTATCCAATGTTCTGAGTAGACCCATTGGAATTTGAGGGCGTGCCTAACTTTGTACAGCTCCGATTCGCTGCTAATGCTCAGCCCTCTTACAAGAAATCAGGCAGTTTTCCTTATAGCTGTGTTTCGGGATATTAATAGACGACTCAAGATAGCAGGGTATAATTAACCTTGTGCGGTCACAGAACCTGGCAACTTATCAGATATTGTAGGAAAAATTCCACACAGGGAACTGAAACTGACCCGTTGTATGTCTGGGCTGCTTGTCCTTTTGTGGACTGAATACCCCACAGCTGGGTGCAGATTTCACCTGCATTTTAAAAGAAGCAAACAGGGCCAGCTCCCTTGCCATTAATTCCAGTCGGCAGCACTAAACTTTGGCAGTAGCCATTGAGAGCCTTTAGCCCCCACAGATTTGACAAACCCTTTTTTTAAAAAACAAACACCCATGTTATCAGGCAGTGCTACCTCTTGTGGGAGTGAGTTCCACAGCCCAGCTATGCACTGTGTGGAAAAAATACTTTGTCTCTTCTGAATATTACAACATTCAGCTGTGTTGGGTGTTTTCTGGCATAGAGAGATAAGTGACAGAACATTTGTGCAAGTGGCAGAAAGGACAGCTTGAAGTTAAAGTTTTACTTCCTTCACCTGAAAAGAATGTACAAACAAAGGGCTCAGTTGACACAAGAGGAGATGGTGGCTGGGCTTTGGTTACGAAATGAAACGTACTAGAACCAGTGTTTCATCTGTAAGAATGAGAGTTACCTAGAAGCCCAGAACATAGCAGGTGGTTATTTTGTAGAAAGACTCTCTGCACATGCTCAGAGACACTCCCATGAAGCAGGCTGTGAGTGCAGAGTTAAAAAAAATTTAAAACGTGGTTAGGCCTATCATAGAATTGTAGATTTCGAAGGGGTCATGAGGGCCAACTCCCTGCAATGCAAGAACACACAGTCCCCCATCCAGTTTGAAACCAGACCAGACCCTGCTTAGCTTTGCAAATGTGCTATTGATTTTCTTGTTGCACAAGTCAGGCCTGAGGGGGCCCTGCAGCGGAATCTAAAATTGGTACTGGGACTAGTGTTCAAATAATAATAATAATAATGGTGTTAAAGTTGGTGGTAGCCTTTTCCCACAGTCTCTAAAACAGGGGTTGGAAATCCAGTGGCTCTTTGGGTGCTGCTGGGCTCCCATCAAGACCCAGCCAGCAGAGCTAGCAGTCAGAGATGATCAGCGACATCGTTGCTTCTTCCCCCATTGCAATAAAACTCAGCTGGAGGATAGGTTAGGTTCCTTTGGGTTGGCAGAGTTTCTGTTCCCAACCTTTGTTCCCTCCTGGCTGGGAACAGCAGTACAGTGGTACCTCAGGTTACAGACACTTCAGCTTATAGACTCTGCTAACCCAGAAATAGTATCTCGGGTTAAGAACTTTGCTTCAGGATGAGAACAGAAATCGTGCAGTGGTGGCAGCAGGAGGCCCCATTAGCTAAAGTGGTACCTCAGGTTAAGAACAGTTTCAGGTTAAGAACAGACCTCCAGAACAAATTAAGTTCCTAACCTGAGGTACCACTATATTGAGAAAAGTCGCCAGCGGAGGAGGGAAGATGAACACCTAGTATTGCCAACTTTCATAGCAGCCACTGCTGCTGTGCCTTTGACGGCAACTGTGCATGAAGCCATAAGCAGTGCCGACGCTTTATCTCCTTGTAAAAAGCTTTGCCCGTTTTCTGAACACTGCTGTGGCCTAGGCAGTTATTATTTTTCTGGCCAGTCAGCATACCCTCCTATACCACACCGGGGTAGCTGACCCTTGAGATGTTGTTGGCTGTCAGCTCCCGTCACCCGCAGCCAGCATGGCTGAAGGTTTAGGGTGATGGAAACCTTATCTGCGGCAACATCCAGAAGGCTGCAGGTTACATATTTCGCGGGAAAGTTTCCATGGATGCCTTGGCTTCAGATCAAGATCCTTTGCAGCTTGTTCCATCGATAAATCCTGCTATGTGTGATGTCAGTGTCGTCTCCTGCTCTGCATAGATACATTTCTGAGTACAGTGGTACCTCGGGTTACATACGCTTCATGTTACACACTCCGCTAACCCAGAAATAGTGCTTCAGGTTAAGAACTTTGCTTCAGGATAAGAACAGAAATTGGGCTCCAGCGGCGCGGCGGCAGCAGGAGGCCCCATTAGCTAAAGTGGTGCTCCAGGTTAAGAACAGTTTCAGGTTAAGAACGGCCCTCCGGAACGAATTAAGTACTTAACCCGAGGTACCACTGTACCAGAGGCTGGAAACAGCAGGAGAGGAGAGCCCTCTTGTGCCCGGGTCCTGTTTCCAGGTTTCCTGCAGGTATCTGATGGAGAAAACGCAGGATAGCTCAGTTACTTAGGGCATGATGCTGATAATGCCAAGGTTGCAGGTTTGATCCCCGCATGGGACAGCTGCATATTCCTGCATCGCAGCGGGTTGGACTAGATGACCCTCGGGGTCCCTTCCAACTCTACAATTCTCTGATTCTATTATTCTTACCTCTGCCCCACTCCTGGCTTGTGGCACAGCTATTACAGGCACAGGACTTCAGTCAAGGAGGAGGAGGAATGCAGGGATAATAATGATAATGAGAGAAACGGTATGCATATATATTGTCTCAGTACTCCTTACAGTAGCTTGTGGGGCAGGGCGGTACGTATTACCATATTGCAAATGAGCAGCCTGAGGCTTTCAAAATGCCTTTCCCGAGGTCAGGCAAAGGCTTTTAAACCTCGCCTTCCCGGCTCTCAAAATTCAGGTTCCCTTGAGCTATTATTTTACTCCGGCGCCCTTCAGCCAACCTTCTAGGGATGCGGGCACCGACTCTGGGGAAGTAAGACGAACTCTGCTCCTCTGAGACTGAAAGTGTGGCTAAGTCTCCTCTTTTGTCTAGTTTCATGTAAACACCAGCGGAGAGATTCCCAAGGGTGGGGTTGATACTCAGGGAGCCCTTCCTGTTAAGGAAATGCAGCTGAGAGGGATTTTATTTAAAGAGCAAAGTGTACCCAGAAAGGGTGCGGCCGGTGACCCAAACAACAGCTCAGCCCAGATGGCTAGCTCCTCTGTTCAGGTTGTGTTCTTGCCTTTCCCCCACCTCTTTTCCTTTTCTTCTTTTTGGTTTAGACCAGTGGAAACGAGCTTGCAAAACGTAATAAGGAGAGCCGGGAAAACAGAGTCAGGCCAGCGGGGCTGTTTACATAGAGCAGCGGTGGAGTTTGCTCCCCCAGGTGGCAGTGAGGGTCAACTCTGAGGCCTTTAAAAGGGTCTTAGACAAATTCACCAGGGTTAAGGCTGTCAGTGGCTGCTAACCACTATTGCTGCGCTCTGCCTCTGTGGTGTTCGGACTCAGTTTGCTCCTGAATGCCAGTTTCTGGAAACCACAGGAGCAGAGAGTTGCTCTTATGCCCGGGTCCTGTTGTGTGCTTCCCACGGATATCTGGTTGGCCGCTGGGAGAACAGGATTCTGCACCAGATGGGCCGTTGGCCTGATCCTGCACCGCTCGTCTTAGGCTCTAGCTCATGGGTTCTCAAACTGTTTTTCTCTGGGCCACACTTTCAGAATGAAAATTTGCTCACTCCACTCCCCAAAAAATTTTATTGGTAAGGAATGCATTGGAAAATAAAAAGAAAAGTGCGAAGGTTAGCTCGCCCCTTGATATGGATGGAAGAGGTACTAGTGACCTGTACAACACGCATATGGTTAAGGCGTTACCACTTACTTTGTGGCATCTAGCCAAGTTTATTTCCCCTCCCCACAAGCTGGATAGCTCAGCTGGTTGAGCATGAGACATGTAATCCCAGGGTTGTGGGTTCGAGCGCTGCGTTGGTTGAAAGATTCCGGTTCCTTGTGGTCCCTTCCAACTCTACAATTCTATGATTCCAGTGCTTGAATGGGAACATAGAACACAACTACTTCATAATATGATCATGGGGCGTGCAGATAGTATAAAACAAAGCAGCTGCGTAAGAACAGAAATCACTCGCAGAACTATTCCCTCGATTGTCCTTGAATCTCCCCGCCACACTTGCCATCCTCTCCGGCCCACCCCAGCGTGGTATGCCGCACCCTTTGAGAACCACTGCTCTAGCTTCTCCTCTTTTCTTGACACCATCCGCACTGGGAGATCTCTGCCACATCCCTTCCCCGTGGCCCCTGTGCTTTTCTCCTGAAAAGGCCACCACTAAGAGCAATGCCATGCATTGGGCAGGTGGCCTTAACAACCCCTCAGCCGCCGGAAATCTATGGTGTGGGGGCACTCTCCTGCAGTGCTACACCTGTGGGGCTGCAAAAACCTTCCCTGTTGAATTTCCGCTTGTGCAGCTGCCAATGACACAGGGATCCTACTGGGGGGGGGGGCAGGGGCGGGGAAAGCAAAACAAAACTGGCATGCAGATTCGAAAAGGTGGTGCTTATCCACCCTGCAATTTAATTAACCGTGGTGGAACAGACTCACGCCTGCGATTCCTGGTGCCAGGTCTCTCTGGGCTTCCCCTAAGGCAGGGGTTGCCAACTCCCAAGAGACTGTGATCTACTAACAGAGTTAAAAACTGGCAGTGATCTACCCCCCTTTTGGGGGGTTCGGGTCAAAGTTGTTGAGCTTGTTTTAGGGAGGAGGAAAGCCCCGTTTTGGGGGGGCTTCAGGTCGAAGTTGTTGAGCTTTTTGGGGAGAGCCAGTGATCTACCAAGCAGGTGCGGGTGGCACTGTGGGTTAAACCACAGAGCCTAGGACTTGCTGATCAGAAGGTCGGCAGTTTGAATCCCCGCGACGGGGTGAGCTCTCATTGCTCGGTCCCTGCTCCTGCCAACCTAGCAGTTCGAAAGCACGTCAAAGTGCAAGTAGATAAATAGGTACCGCTCCAGCGGGAAGGTAAACGGCGTTTCCATGCACAGCTCTGGTTCGCCAGAAGCGGCTTAGTCATGCTGGCCACATGACCCGGAAGCTGTACGCTGGCTCCGTCGGCCAGTAAAGCGAGATGAGCGCCGCAACCCCAGAGTCGGTCACAATTGGACCTAATGGTCAGGGGTCCCTTTACCTTTTTACCCACTTTTGGGGGGGGTTGGGTCAAAGTTGTTGAGCTTTTTTGGAGGGAGCCAGTGATCTACCACAGACTTCCAGTGATCTACCAGTAGATCACGATCTACCTGTTGGACGTGGCTGCCCTAAGGCACTGAGGCTAAACTCTGGCCTTCAGTCGGGATGGGCACATGCCACTAGGCTTTCTCTGCAGCGAGCAGGGGCGGCTGAGAGCGAAACTGGACTTTGCATGGGGGCGGGTGGAACAGATAAGATAAAACTTTTGTTCCCAGTTCTTTGGAGCATGAGAGAGCCTGGGAGAAAGTGGGGGCAGGAAGAGAGCGAGAGCGGGAGGGTGACTCTTCCAACAGGCTTTTGTGAGGTGTGGGCTGATGCCCGGGTCTTTGTGGGCGGCGGGGTGGGGTGGGGGCACGAGCGGGAACCGAGTGGCTCAGATGTGCCGTCATCCCTCTGGAATTTGAAACCTCCCGTGCTCAGCTAGAAAGAAAAATCGCCTGCGTTCTCCCTCCCACATCTCTTCTCTCAAAACCACTCTCCTTCCGTGAATGGCTAAGTTTCACTCTCATGCAGGCTACCCTCCCTGCCCCCTCCTGGGTGACCGTTTCAAAATCACAGCTCAGCCCTGACTCACTCATCCTTTCCCTTGCCTCTGCCCTGCATCATCACATAATGAGCAAGCTCGCCAGACAGGTCCTTCTGACTGTGCCTTTGGAACAATTTCAGCATCTATTTCCTCTGTTTGTATATATCAATATCTGATAAGGGGGATGATCCTCCCCAGCGGTACCTGCTTGGCTGGTAAAACTAGGGCCTTCTCTCCTGCTTTCGGCTCCGATGCAAGACTGTCTGAACCGCAGCTTACCAAGGATCTTTCCTGGAAAGAACTGGCTGCCCAAAACTTCGTCCTGCAATGCAATAGGAGATGTATAAAATCCCTGAACCTCACTGCTCACTCCCAGGATGGTGAAAATGGTTGGCATCCGTGCCCAGCTGGGGTCCACAAACAGAGACAGCTACTTGAATCACTAGGAAGATCTGGAGGTCTTTATCTCCTTCTGCAACCCTTCCACCGCACCAAAGATTTCCCAGAGTAGCTGACAAATTATCAGTTTTAAGTACGGTGGTACCTCTAGTTACGAACTTAATTCGTTCCGGAGGTCCGTTCTTAACCTGAAACTGTTCTTAACCTGAAGCACCGCTTTAGCTAATGGGGCCTTCCGCTGCCGCTGGCGCGCGATTTCTCTTCTCATCCTGAGGTAAAGTTCTTCACCCGAGGTACTATTTCCGGGTTAGCAGAGTTTGTAACCCGAGGTGTTTGTAACCTGAGGTACCACTGTATTCACTTTGCCTCTGAATATCATAGAGCAGTGTTTCCCAAACTTTGGCTCTCTAGCTGTTTTTGGACTACAACTCCCATCATCCCTAGCTAGCAGGACCAGTAGCCATGGATAATGGGAATTGTAGTCCGAGAACAGCTGGAGACCCAAGTTTGGGAAACCCTGCTGTAGAGCAACTCCTGTATGAGGAAAGGAAGTTTTTGGTTTAGAGAAAAGGCAAGTAAGAAGGTTAGGGTATAAATAATAAAAATTGTTGTTGTTGTTAGGTGACATGAGAGAAGGCTATTAAAGTATGCCAGGCATTGGGGGAAAGTTTGTCTCCCTCTCTCATAACGCTAGAACTCGTGGACATTCAGTGGAAGATACCAGAGGGATAAAAGGAAGTCCTCCTTCATGCGGCGCATAGTGAAAACTGTGGAACTCTCTGCCACAGGAAGCAGTGATGACCACCAACTTGGGTAGCTTTAAAGGAGGCTTGGACAAATTTGTGCAGGATAAGACCATCAGGGGCTGCTAGCCGTGCTCTGCCGCCACAGCTGGAAGCAGTTACTGGAAACCGCAGGGTGGGATGAGTTGTCCTGTTTGCAGGTTTCCCACAGGCATCAGATTCATACCTGACAGGTGCTCAGAATGACTTGGGCACGCCCAGTGTCCCAGGTTTTTGTGCTGACTGAGCGCTGCAACACAGACCCATTTTTCAGACTGGGACACTGAGGGGAACTGCCCGGCAGAAAACGATGGTGAAACGGCATGCCATGCCTACCGCAAGAGTGACAGCTTGTGCAACCAACACAGCTCTTCCTGTTTTAATAGTGCCTTGCGATGCCAGTCAGATAGGCGGGGCGCTCTCTGAAAAACGATGAGCGATGATGAGGAGAAAGGGTTAAAAAATGACTGCACAGTTGTTCACCAAAATTTTGCACTTACACATTGGTCAGGGCAGGTGATAGTTTCACTTGTGGGCACTTCCTGTGGACATACCATTTTTAAAATTTATTTTTGCAAGTCAATTTTCCCCATTAAACTTAATCTTTACATATGAATTCCAGATTCCAAATTTGTTAGACATTTCTCTTCATCTTCCTGCCCTTTCCTGCTGTTCCTAATCCCATCCAATCCCATTTATATACTGCATTCTAATAAATCAGAATTCTTCTAATTTCAAATATTCTTCTATTTCAAATATTACCAATTTTCTGCTGCTGTTCATATTCCAAGTTACTGTGGACATACGACTTGCGGGCCTCCTGTTGTGCCAACAACAGAAGACGGACCATCTCTGGCCTGGCTGGGTAGAGGCAGGGCAAGGCTCCTCTCTACCTGCCCTTCATTGTTTGTCCCTCTGGACACATTTTAGGGGACCTCAGGCCAGGTTCCTCATGGTTCCTTGAAACCCTCAGCCCAGCTCTCTAAAGGAGTGTCTCCACCCCCATCGTTCACTGAGATCAGTACCGAGGGCCTTCTGGCGGTTCCCTCACTGCAAGAAGTGAGGCTACAGGGAACCAGGCAGAGGGCCTTCTTGGTGGTGGCACCTTCCCTGTGGAACGCCCTCCCAGCAGATGTCAAGGAAATAAACAACTACAGTCATACTTCTTGTTATGTTCGGTTCAGGTTACGTCTTTTCAGATTGCGTCCTGCGGTGACCTGGAAGTACCTCAGGTTAAGAACTTAATTCGTTCTGGAGGTCCGTTCTTAACCTGAAAGTGTTGTTAACCTGAGGTACCACTTTAGCTAATGTGGCCTGCCATTGCCGCTGCACGATTTCTGTTCCCATCTTGAAGCAAAGTTCTTAACCCGAGGTACTATTTCTGGGTTAACGGAGTCTGTAACCTGAAGTGTCTGTAACCTGAGGTACCACTGTACCTGAAAGGGTTACTTCAGGGTTTTGCCAATTGCGCATGCGCAGACGCTCAAAATGACATCACACGCATGCGCAGAAGCGGCAAATAGTGACCCGCGCATGCGTAGACACGGGTTGCGTTCTGCTCATATTGCGAACGGGGGTCCGGAACGGATCCTGTTCACAACCAGAGGTACCACTGTATCTGACTTTTAGAAGACATCTGAAGGCATCCCTGTTTGGGGAAGTTTTTAACGTCTGATGTTTTATTGTATTTTTTATATTTTGTTGGAAGCCGCCCAGAGTGGCTGGGGAAACCCAGCCAGATGGACGGGGTGTAAATAATAAATTGTTGTTGTTGTTACCACTGCACGGCCGGTCTGTGGCCAAGACGTCTGTGACAGATTCTTTCGGCTGGGTGGGAGTGGATGAGTGGGCTTGATCAAATTGCATCTCCTCTCTCTTTCTCTGCTTTTTGTGATCCTCTGATTTCATATTCCGGCTGTGTGGCTGTCATATTCCCCCGCAGTCATAGGCATTTCTAAGCTCGGAACAGTCTAATCTTTTAAGCCTCCCCGAGTAAGAGAAAACATTTCCTCCTTTTCACCATCTTCCCACGTCTTCTCTCTCCTCCGTTGTCTCGCTTCCTCCCCTCACTCTTAAAACACAGCCTTGGCGAACCCAGTGCCCCTCAGATGTTTCGAAGCTGCCCTCCTAAACATCAGGAGGGTGCCAGGTTGACCAAGCCTGCTCCAAGGGAGGGAGGGCAACCCCGATCTTGCAGGCTCGCTTCCTCCTCTTTGTACCCGCGCCAGGAAGTTGCAGATTCTCTCCTTCCCTTCCTGGATTTGGGCATCCTTGGCTGCCCTCAGCTCCTTGCCAGCAGGGCTGGCGTCGAAAGGATTCCTTTGGAAACCTGCTCCTCAGCTTGAAAATAGTAATTTCGAGCCGCCGCGAGAGAAATCCACGCGCCGGCACTTGCTCCAAGCTGGCCCATGCATAATGGATGGGGCTGTGGGTAATTATGGGTCGTCCCAGGAGAGCCGAGGAGGGGATCAGTTAGTGGATGAACACGCCAAGCTGGCAGCGAAAAGATGGCATGCGGAGGTCTGCCTTTCACCTCTCAATCTCGCACCTCTGGTGCTTTTGCCTCCCGACACGAAGGGAAGGCGACAGATGGCCTTTGCTGGGAAGGAAGGAGTTGGCCGCAGTTGCCCTGGATCTGGGACGGCGGGGGCAGAGAAGCCTGCGACTCTCCAGCTGTTGCGGAACTACAACTCCCATAAGCCTCAGCTGTCGGTTGGAGCTGATGGGACTTGGAGTCCAGCCGTGCCTGGAAGGGCAAAGGTTCCCCAGCCCAGGTCTAGAAGGAATGAGATTTTTTTAAAAATCTGCAGGCTGCCTTATGTTCCTGAGCCAGTGTGGTGTAGTGGTTAAGAGCGGTAGTCTCGTAATCTGAGGAACCGGGTTCGTGTCTCCGCTCCTCCACCTGCAGCTGCTGGGTGACCTTGGGCCAGTCACACTTCTTTGAAGTCTCTCAGCCCCACTCACCTCACAGAGTGTTTGTTGTGAGGGAGGAAGGGAAAGGAGAATGTTAGCCGCTTTGAGACTCCTTAAAGGGAGTGAAAGGCGGGATATCAAATCCAAACTCTTCTTCTTCTTCTTCTTCCTGGCAGGGAAAATGGCGGGGTGGAAATAAATATATAATAATAACAACAATAATATACAGTATCAAGGGTGGGGAAGCCTTTTCTGCCTGAGAGCCACATTAGCCTCCTGGGGGACACATTCCAGAAGATTATCATTGCTATTTCGTCCATTTATATCCTACCACTTCCTTCTGAAGGAAGCCAGATAGAAGAGTCTTGACCTCATGACAAGAGGTTTCTGCATGCAACCATGCATTCCTCTCTCCATCCAGGCAATGAAGAGTCTTTATCGCCATCCAAAGATACCTGGATAGCTCAGTTGGTTAGAGCATGGCGCTAATAACGCCAAGGTTGCAGGTTCGATCCCCACATGGGACAGCTGCAAATTCCTGCATTGCAAGAGGTTGGACTAGATGACCCTCAGGGTCCCTTCCAACTCTACAATTCTATGATTCTGTGATTCTACACATCCCAAGCAGACAAAAGCACTGGAGGGAAATGTGGGGCAGGGCCCTGAGGAGTTTGGCCTGGGGATGTCCAAACATTTTTCAAAGAGGGCCAGATTTGATGAAGTGAACATGTGTGAGGGCCAACCAAGGTTGTTGTGCTTTTTCTTAGGATTTTATCCCAGGACAGATACTGCCACGGGGGCTGGATTAGGCCCCCAAAACGGATTTTGGACATGCCTGGCCTAGGGAGTACAGTGGTACCTCAGGTTACAGACGCTTCAGGTTACAGACTCCGCTAACCCAGAAATAGTACCTTGGGTTAAGAACTTTGCTTCAGGATGAGAACAAAAATTGCGCGGTGGTGGCAGGGCGGCAACGGGAGGCCCCATTAGCTAAAGTGGTACCTCAGGTTAAGAACAGTTTCAGGTTAAGAACAGACCTCCAGAACGAATTACGTTCTTAACCAGAGGTACCACTGTATTTTGAGAGCCAAGCAAAAAGGTTTGCAGGGCCATATTTGACTTCTGGACCTGAGGTTCCTCACCTCTCCTTTAATTAGTGCTGAAGACTGCCAACTTTTCCCCTTGCCTCTGCTCCTGCGCCTGTGAGTGCCACTTGATCCGCTGGCTTTTGAAGTGATTCTGCTGTTCGTCCTGCCATGAAAAGCTTTGCTTTCAGGTTTCTGCACTTTGGGATGCTATTAAAGGCACAGCAGCAAGATGGGTCAGGGCTTTTTTTTTTTTTAAGCCTGCTGTCGACTCTAATTTCATTTAAAAGTGCTCCTCATGCGTTGTCTCATTATCCCTATGTACATTATTCTAACAGCTCTGTGAAGTAGTAGTTATTATCCTCATAATGCAGAAGGGAGCTGACGCCGATTTTGTGCAAGGCCGCCCAGTGAGAGAATGCACGAAGTCTGAACCAGAAGGAGAGAAACATACATAAAAATTGAGCCCCAGGTAGCCAGGACAAACGTTCTAGTCCTGATGAAGTTTCCACTGCAAGGGAGGGGACAGGAGCACACTTTCTCTGTGGGTTGAGGGTGTGTATGTGTGTTCTGCTGCCTTTCCTTTCCTGATGGGCCTTGCGCAAGCTTCTGGCATGTGATGGGCAGAGCCGGGATGCCCTGTGCCATGAAAAGCCCCAGAGCGTCTGATGGCAGTGACGAATGACAGGGGTTGTCGCCTTCTTAAGCAGGCGGAAATTGAGCAGTGGGCGCTTTGCCTGGCAAGGAAAAGTGATGCAAGCACACACAAACACACATGCCTTCATTTGCTTCATTTCTCCCTGGCAGGCCAGTAAAAAAGGTGCGGTCGCAGAGACCCAACACATAAGAACATAACCTATGGTGAGTCAGGCCAATGCCCCATCTCAGACGGTCTAAACCACCGAGCCTCTTGGACTTGCTGATTGGAAGGTCAGTGGTTCGAATCTCCAAGATGGGGTGAGCTCCCGTTGCTCTGTCCCAGCTCCTTCAAACCTAGCAGTCTGAAAGCACGTCAGTGCAAGTAGATAAATAGGTACCACTGCAGCAGGAAGGTAAACGGCGTTTCCGTGTGCTCTGGCTTCCGTCACGGTGTCCCGTTGCGCCAGAAGCGGTTTAGTCATGCTGGCCACATGACCCAGAAATGCTGTCTGTGGACAAACACCGGCTTCCTTGGCCTGAAAGCGAGATGAGCACCGCAACCCCATAGTCGCCTTTGACTGGACTTAACCGTCCAGGGGTCCTTTACTTTTTTTACCCATCTCAGTCAGTATTGTCTGCCCTGACTGGCAGTGACTGTCCATGCTTTCAGGCATAAAGGTAAAGGTAAAGGGACCCCTGACCATTAGGTCCAGTCGTGACCGACTCTGGGGTTGCTGCGCTCATCTCACTTTACTGGCTGAGGGAGCCGGCGTACAGTTTCCGGGTCATGTGGCCAGCAGGACTAAGCCGCTTCTGGCGAAACAGAGCAGTGCATGGAAATACGGTTTACCTTCCCGCCGGAGCGGTACCTATTTATCTACTTGCACTTTGAGGTGCTTTCAAACTGCTAGGTTGGCAGGAGCAGGGACTGAGCAACGGGACCTCACCCAGTCACAGGGATTCGAACCACCGACCTTCTGATCGGCAAGCCCTAGGCTCTGTGGTTTAACCCACAGCGCCACAGGCATGGACACCCCTATTTTCATCGGAGAAAAGTTGGAGGGTATGCTTTTTACCCAGACTCTGTAGAAAAGCAAAGTGTGTTTGTGTACGCATGTGCGGTTGGGCGGGTGGGAGAACAGCGCAAAGGGTTGTTTGAACACTCTCTTGAAATCGTAAACGCGCCTACTGGCCACAAAGGTCAGTGACCTTAGCTTAACCACTGGACCTCATTCTTTATTTTTTTTTCATAACGGGCCTGTAACCCAGAAACTTCCCATGCACCTCTACACACACACACACACAGAGAGAGAGAGAGAGAGAGAGAGAGAGAGGGAGGGAGGGAGGGAGACTCACACTCACACACTGTAGCCATCAGGCCTCGCTCTCTTCAAAGCGCTGAGGAGAGATGAAAGGCAAAATCCCGGCATTCATCCCCTCTCAGGGCTGCCTTCACCCTTATGCTTAAAACATCAATTGTGTGCCGAAGAAAAGCTGCGCATTACAGGCCGTATGAATTATGCACGCTGAGCTCATTCGCCTACATACATCTCTATTTTGCATAATTTATATCGCTCCTTGCTAACCGCAGCGAAAGGAAGGCAACCTGGCTAGCGGGAATCCTGATCTGCGCCTTCCGAGATTTCGTCGGCGGTTCACCCCTACGCTTCCGAGTGTTGAGGGCTAGAAACTTGGCGGGTAAATATTGATTGCTTGCAGCCATTTGTTGCGTCGCAAACAATTCAGGACGGGAGTGGCAGATATATATTTGCTGAAAACTACGATGGCTGAGATTCTCATGGTGCCGATGTGCCTGATTTTGCACAGGGCAGTTGTGCGATGGATGACGTCGCCCTGAACGTTTTTTGCTTTCGTTGTTTTGTTTGTGCTTTCACTTGGCGTTTTATCTCGTGAGCCGCCTTGAGATCTTGCAATGAGGACGGTGCATAAATCTAATAAGTAATAGAATAATAAATAACAATGCAGCCCTCTCTAATCAATAGATTGCCATCCCTAGAACTAGACTTGGGTCTTGGGGGAGCCTCTTGTGTGTTCCCTCCCATGGCCGGGGATTCCAGCTTGGAAGAAAGCTTTGCCCTCATCCTTCCCCAAAGGTCCAGTCCCTGAAACTGCAGCGGGATGGGTGCGGTGGGGGCACCAAGGGAGAGCAGAAACCGGGCTGCTTGCATTCCCTCTGTGGTGTGAATCACAGTCCATTCAACCTTCCTAGCTGCCAGTACAAACCCCCTGCAATTGCTAATCTGCAGCGTAGAATTAAGGTGCCACCTAGTGGTTGAAGATTGGAGAGTAAGAGAAATAATAATAATAATAAAACACGATCTAGAATCCCGGCCAGTTAAAGCCCTGTTCTGGGTTTACACGAAAACATAAAAAGAGTCTGCTGGATCAGGCCTGCAGCCCATGTAATCTAGCATCCTATTCTCATATGGGATCACCCAGGTGGCCGTGGGAAATCTGCAAGCTTGACCTGAACCCAAGAGATACCCTTCCCTCCTGCGATTTCCACTGGTATTCGGAAGCTTTGCTTCCTCTGGCTGTGGAAACAGAGCACAGCCATTGTGGCTGGCAGCCACTGAGAGCCCTCTCCTCTAGGAGATGCAGGACTGTGTGTTTATAAGATCAATGAGACTCTTAATCTCAGGGCTGCGTGTTCAAGGCCCACGTTGGCCAGAAAGATCCCTGCATTGCAGAGGATTGGACCAAATGACCCTCATGCTTCCTTCCAACTCTATGATTCTATGATCACAATTCAGCAGAAACAATATCGGGTCTTGCGGCACCTTAAAGATTTAGACATGTATTGGGGGCATGGTGCTTTGCGGACTAGAATCCACATCATCTATAGTGGTACCTCTTGATGCGAACGGGATCTGTTCTGGAGCCCCGTTCGTATCCTGAAGCAAACGTAACACGCGACTGCGCATCTACATGTTGCGTTTCACCGCTTCCACGCATGCGTATGACGTCATTTTGAGCCTCTGCACATGCGCGAGTGGCGAATCCCGAAAGTAACGCGTTCGATTACTTCTGGGTCGCCGCAGAGCGCAACCCGAAAACGCTCAACCTGAAGTGTATTCATCCTGAGGTATGACTGTATTGCATGAATTGTTATCTTTGGATGAGAGGAATATATGCAGTGGTACCTCTGGTTACGTACTTAATTCGTTCTGAAGGTCTGTTCTTAACCTGAAACTGTTCTTAACCTGAAAGACCACTTTAGCTAATGGGGCCTCCTGCTGCCGCCCCACCGCCGCCACATGATTTCTGTTCTCATCCTGAAGCAAAGTTCTTAACCCGAGGTACTATTTCTGGGTTAGCGGAGTCTGTAACCTGAAGCGTTTCTAAACTGAAGCATATGTAACCTGAAGCATATGTAACCTGAGGTACCACTGTATAGGCACATGGGCAGAGGTGGGGATCCTCTGGCTTTCCAGATGTTGCAGAGCTCCAGCTTCCTCGCAGGCTCAGTTTAGCGTAGCCAATGGCCAGGAATGATGAGAGGGTTATGAAATGCCATTAAATGAAAAAATTACCTGTGCAAAATCAGCACGGTGACCATTTGCAGCATCAGTAGTTGGAGACCACACATTCATCCTGGCATTTGTTGAGTAGATTTGACCCCTGTAGTGGAAGCAGAAAACCACTGTGTCCGTTCACACCCAAACAGGCTCGAGTGTGCGTCTGCCAAACCCAGCTCTCTGAAAACCTCAGAGTTCCTTTTCTAGCCACAGTTGTTTGGAGGGGAGGCTTGAAAACCGGTGAGCCCCACTTGGCCAGCTGAAATCTCAGAAGCAGCAGTTGCTGAAAGAGACTTCCAATAACCAGAGGCCTTGCCCCATCCCCATGTTTGTAGGAAATTGTGAAAAGGAAAGAAAACCATGCTTGAAGAAAATGTTCCATTTAACATTTGTTTAAAAAGCCGAGGCATTTTTGTTGGGGATTGTAGGGAAAGACCTGCCAAAAAAGCTGGAAAACATCTTCATGTATGCGACAACGGCCGCAAGAGTTCTGGTAGCACAAGGATGGAAGACTGAAGAAACCCCAACTAAAGAAGCATGGCAAGAAAAAGTGATGGACTATGCAGAACTGGCAAAACTGACATATAAGCTATGGGACAAGGATAACTGTGACTTTAAGGATGAATGGGAACCCTTTACAAAGTATCTGAAGACGCAACAAAGCGAACTGGACTCCTTGGCAGGTTTTGAATAAACATTCACAAACTTTTTATTGATAATAATCAGCTAAATAGTTTGAGGATCTATACAACTTTGTAACATGCAGAAAACGGCAGTCTCAGAGAAACCAAAGACTGGAACTGAGGGAAGTCGGGGGGTGGGGGCGGGTGGGTTCTGTGTGGGAGGGGGGAAGGAGGAAAAATGGGGGGGGGGACAAGGATGATATGTTTTTGGATAATATGTCTTGTTTTAATTTTGAATAATAAAAAAAAGAAAACCATGCAAACGCTCTCTCTCTCTCCTTTTTTTGGTGTAAGTTATACAGGTCACTGAATTCGCCTTTTCCTGTTGCAGTTTGGATTACCTTGGTGCAGGATTTATTTTTTTATAGAATGATTTTCATCGGTGATATCTGCTTGGTGGAATTGGGTGACTCCAGGTACAGATGACAGTTGTGGGGCCATCACCCTCAGGCCTGCTTTTAAAAATGTGTTTTGGTGCCAGCTCCACGCAGACTTATCCTTTGACCTGGGAAGGAGCCCAGGAGGGGGGAAGCTGCAGCCCTCTTGATGTTGTTGGACTACAACTCCCATCAATCCTAAGAACATAAGAAGATCCCTGCTGGATCAGACTAGTGGCCTGACAGAATCTGGAGAGCTACATCTTCTCTGCCTCTGGGTGCCACAGCGGTGGATTTTCTGAATGTTTGAGGAGAGTTTTGATGTCTTGTGTACGTCAGAAATGGGGAACTTGTAGCCTGCCACATTTTGTGGAACTACAACTTCCTTCACCTGTCATGGCTGGATGGCTGGATGGTGGGAGGCACCAGCTGGGGAACCCCCAGGGGAACCCCCGGGGGAAGAAGGCCCAGAGCCAGTTTTTGGCGGCGGGATGGCAGTGTCTGGTCAAAGGGTGCAGACTGGGAGGAGGAGCTGCCCAAAGCTGAAGAGGCAACAGGGTTTCGTAAGCAGGAAGAGACTGGGGCAGAGAGCAGTGCAGAATCAGAGGTGGGAGAGGAAGAGGGCCAAGAGACAGAGTTGAGGCCGGCTGCTGGAGAATCCAGGGAGTCCCTCTGTCCTGCTTCAGCCAACTCCCCTCCCGCCTGATCTCCCAGAACATGCAGAGAAAAGAAGAGGGCAGAGCAAAGAGAGACAAGACTATGGAGCCTTAGGCTGTTGGGGAAGGAACCAGGGAAAGGAACCTTGGAGAGGAGTGGGAAGGTAGGGACCTTTAGTCCTCAGAGCTGCCTCATTGGGGCAAGACCTACTGGGAAGAGTTGCTGGGATCATTCTTCTTCTTCTTCTTCTTTGGTGATCTCTCGTAACCGAGTAAGGTTGTCTTCCATAAACACAGTTAAAACAATGAGTCCGTAAGTGACTGTGGAGGCCAATTCTGGATCCACACGTCCTTCCACAGTGGGGACATAGGTTTCCGGGCGGAAGTTGATCACAGTGTGGATTTGCCAAGCGTGCCTTCCCCTTAGCTGGTTTCTCCCTTTCGTCCTGAGTTCGAGCGTCTTCAAAACCCACGACACCTTTGATAAAGGCTGTTTTCCAACTGGAGCACTCACAGGCCAGTGTTTCCCAGTTGTTGGTGTTTATCCTACTTTTTTTTAGATTTGCCTTGAGAGAGTCTTTAAACCTCTTTTGTTGTTCTCCAGCATTATGCTTTCCATTTTTAAGTTCGGAGTAGAGTAGTTGCTTTGGGAGACGATCATCAGGCATCCGCACAACATGACCTTGCACTGTTTTGGTTTCTTTGAATAAAGAGTTAACTTCAATGACACGGGGTATTTTTTTTACTGACATACGCCTGACTCTGGCTCCAGACATCAGCCCTGGTCTTGGCCATGCCACCCAACAACACCTACAGGAACAAAGCTCCCCCACTCCTGAAGCAGCCTGATGCGCAACACATGTTCACACGGGCCTCCGATTCACAGCGTTTCTTTCTTTCTTCTTTCTTTCTTTCTTTCTTTCTTTCTTTCTTTTGTCCAGATAAGCCCAACATGGAAGGGGCAGGCACCACAGGGGGGATCATTGGTGGCCTCATTGCAGCCATCGTGGCCGTGGCCGTGGTGGCCACCGGCATCCTGATCTGCCGCCAGCAGCAGAAGAACCGGATGGATCGCGAGGAGGACGAGTGAGTGGATCAGTTTGCTCAGGGCTGAGGGCCAGGATCCAGATAGAGCGCAGGGGGCCTGGGAGATGGGCAACGGGGCACGGCAAGAAAGGGATAACCTCTCCTCCTCCTTCTCCTGCCACTTTTGGTCTGGGTTCAGATTGGGCAGGTGAAGTGTCGTTGGCGACAAATACCACAGGCTCGCACAACTCTAACTGAAACAAATGAAAATGGTTTAGTTTTCAGATGATAATAATAATAATAATTTATTTATACCCCGCCCATCTGGCTGGGCTTCACCGGCCACTCTGGGCGGCTTCCAACAAAATATTAAAATACAGTAATCCATCAAACATTAAAAGCTTCCCTGAACAGGGCTGCCTTCAGATGTTGTCTAAAAGTCTGGTGGTTGTTGCTCTCTTGGACATCTGGTGGGAGGGCATTCCACAGGGCGGGTGCCACTACCAAGAAGGCCCTCTGCCTGGTTCCCCGTAACTTGGCTTCTCGCAGTGACGCAACCACCAGAAGGCCGCAATAGAGAATCAGTATGGTGGGTCTACAATGCAGGAACAGCGACCCAAATTTCTAGGGGATTGGCTCAGCCTTTGCCAACCTGGTGGCTTCCAGATGTTTTGTGGTCCAAAACACCTGGAAGCCACCAGGTTGGCGATGGATGTAATTATTTCTGCACTTTTCCCATCTGCATTGTTTGCCTAGGTCCTTTGCTATTCCTTTAGCATAGGCCTACCGTTTTGATTCTCTATCGCAGGGGCTCTCTGGCCTGCCAGATGTTGTTGGACTCCAGCTGCCACCAGCCATTGACCATTGTCCAGCGCTGGGTGGGCTGTTTTGGGGGACACAGGTCAGCAACACCTGGAGGACCAGAGGCTGGGTGTCAACAAACCCTTTAAATCTGGCCTACCATCTTGTGAGTAGGTGGCCCTTTTTGCTGGCATCTCTTTACCCATTGGGGTGCAAATCTGAACTCAAGATTAACACCCACTACCTAGGGCAATGGTATTCAACCTTTCTGAGTCCATGGCTCCCTTGACCCACCTAAAGCACATTAAAGCACATTATCTCCAGCCAGCCCTCCAGCCCTGGTAGTCAGTGGTTTGGCAGCTTACATCCTCACCTGATGGTCTTCCTTCCTGCCGTCTATGCAGCCAGGAAGGACCCCCTGCTTACAAGCCGCCCCCACCCTGCCAGCTGTCTGACGAAACAGAACCGGTAAGTATCTGTGGCTTGAAGTAGCCAGGATATGCTCCTGACACACAGAGTTATTTTTTCAGCTTTTTGGACTGTTTTGGGAGGAACAAAATTATAACAGTGTCCCCATGCGAATTGCAGATCCCAGGTGATAACTTCTAGGGCAGAGCTGGGGCCCGGGACGAAAGTGGGTCGGACCTGTACCAAAGGGAGATGGATTCAAATCTTTCCCAGCTCAGCTGTAAAACTCACTGGGTGCCATTGGGCAAGGGAGGCTCTGTCTATTTGACCCTGGTGTTAATGATGGCTCACATTTCCCTGTATCTACAAATGGTCCTTCACCACCCCTGGCCCTACCTGCCAACTGCATGAGGTACTTTAGGCTAATAGACGTTGGCTGGTCCAACATAGACCGCCCCCCTCCTGCCCCCAAAGAGCTTCAGGGCGAAGTGGGGTGTGCTGCCTGGGACTGATAGGAATTGCAGCACAGAACCTCTGGAGGATGCCCGGTTGTTGAAGACTGCCCAAAACGATGTCCTACCTACCTCGATGGCCTCTAGGCATCCTGAGCCACAGAAGCTGCCTTTGTAGCTGGAGTTGGCCAAGGTCCCTCCCAGGTGTGGTGGGAAATGGCCAGAGAATGCAGGGAGCAGACTTTGCGGGGCTCAGCAGCAGCTACCTGGCAATTTCGTCCTTGGCGCTGGCCAAGCCACCCCTGCGCAGGCAAGACCCATCCCTCGCATGCTTAGCAATCATCAGCCTACTAATTTCCAGGGCTGCTTGTACTCTGTGCTGAAAGACGGTGCTGTTAATCATTATTATAATCACCATCATCATCATCTCCCATTGGACTGGGTTAGAATAATAATATTGAAGTCAGAAAAGCTGGATTTTAATGTACCTGTTCACTGTTGAAGTGTGTGCAATACCTGTTGCTTTTTGCTTATTCCCTTCTGTTTCTGCTCTTCCTTGGGCCAGGCCAAGAGCTCAGTGGGGCAATGCATGTTCTCTCTGTCACTGGAGGCCTTATTTACTCCCTCTGGCTGCTCTTGTGCTCAGATCCTGCTTCTGGGCTTCCCACCTGACTGGCCACGGTGTGAACAGGATGCTGGATTCAGTGGGCCTCTGACCTAACCCAGCAGGGCTTCTTAGGCTGTGATTTCAGCAGGCGTTGCCCACTCTCGGGCAAAGCTCTCTTTGCAAACCATAAGGCCTAGCAACTTGCTTTTTAGAAAATAAAAACCAAAACGCTGGGAGTCTCCAGTGAATGTTGGCTCCCAGAGCAAAAATCTGTGTGGTGCTTGCATGAAATGGCAGGATACGCATGGCCCTGCCATGGCTGGCTGAGGACGAAGAGACAACGGAGGCTTTGGTGAAGCGTTTGGGCAGGGTTGCTTGCAGCAGTTTCTTCCTGCAGTTGGATAGGAGGTGGCTGGCTGAGTCTTAAGAAGCCCTTCAGACAGCCAAAGGCGACCAGGGATGGATGGGGAGGGAACTATCTGCAATTCTGCGTGTGCTGGCGGCTCTCTCCCTCTCTGGCTGAGAGTATCCTGGAATTTATTCTGACTCTGGGAAGGGAGCTTTTTCTCTCTCTTGGCTTCCTCCGGCAGTTCAGGCTGCCCCTCCCGTCTTCATCCCACATCTCTGGTTTATTCCAGGTTCCCACTCCCAGTGAGGCTGAGAGTATCCCGCTCAAAGCACCCTTTTATGAACCCAGCACCACAGACGATCTCTTTGGCGGGGTCGCTGCCACCGCAATGGAGGTGAGGGGGAGCCCGTGCCAAGGAGTTTTCTCTAGGGAAGAGCCCGCGTTGAGCACAAGGGGTGCAATCAAGGAGACCGAGCCCTCTGAAACGGGATCCGCTCTGACACCCTGAGACTCAGCTTCTCGGGTTTACGTTGGAGAGAAAACCTAGCCTGTTAAGTTGTGGGTGAACATATCAGACGACACAGCGATTCTTCAAACAGCTCTTGTTTATTCACAGGCCAGAACAGAACTGAACTGAAGGGTTCAGCCAGCCTGCTTATATAGAGCTCCAGTACAACGTAACTGTAACAATTTTCTAAAACTTATCCAATCACTGAACGTCACTTTCGATCCCTTATTTGCATAACTATCTACAGTATCCCCCTGCTGGCCCAGGGTGAGAACTTCAGTACATAAACATAGCCCATGCTGACCCCAGGGCCCCATGAAGAAGATCAGTATAACAAACACACACAACTCTCAGGATGTATCCTGCTCATCTGCAATCATGCCTCTCAGAGCGTAGGATTTGGTTGTCGAGCACACACCAGGGAATCCTGAGACTCATGGCTTCCTTTTTGTTTTTAAAGTCCTCAAAGTTTCTAGTCCTTATGGCTGCAAAACGTGGCAATTAATTTGCAAGCTTGTGGGCAAGGCTTGGTGAGTTTTCTACAATGTAGAAAGGGGGACCAAGCAGGATGAGTAGGGAGCAGAGGGCAGGGGACTGCTTTAGCATCCCTCCTTTGCTGCACACTTTTGCAGACACAAAAGCGTTACACTGCCTAATCTGAGGCTGTGCTTCTGGATTCTCAGCAGCATTGCTTAGGATCCTGGTGTTTGCCTCTTGGATTGCACAGTGCTTCATAGTGCTGGTCAAAACAGATCTGCCCTTCAAACTAGCTGCTCCCACAAACGGTGACCTGTCTTTCCAACACAATTGGGCTAGCTGCAGATATGTTTGTTTGCCAGGTACTCTTCAGAATCAAGAGGGACGCAGGTGGCGCTGTGGTCTAAACCTCAGAGCCTAGGGCTTGCCAATCAGAAGGTTGGCAGTTCGAATCCCCGCAACGGGGTAAGCTCCCGTTGTTTGGTCCCAGCTCCTGCCCACCTAGCAGTTTGAAAGCATGTCAAAGTGCAAGTAGACACATAGGCGGGAAGGTAAACAGTGTTTCCGTGCACTGCTCTGATTCGCCAGAAGCGGCTTAGTCATGCTGGCCACATGACCCGGAAGCTGTCTGTGGACAAACGCCTGCTCCCTCGGTCTATAGAGCGAGATGAGCGCCGCAACCCCAGAGTCATCCGCAACTGGACCTAACGGTCAGGGGTGCCTTTATTTTACCTTCAGAATCAATATACTAATTCTGTGCACACCAACAGGCAACACAGAGGGCCGGCCCAACCATTGGGCAGTGTCAGATGTCCACCTCAGACAGCTGAATTGTGGTGTTTTGAAGGGGCCATGAACTGTTATTTATTTTATTATTGTATTAAGTCCCAAAATATCTTGGTGAGCTTTGGAGACCTTGACTTGTGAGGGAGGGGCAGCATTTGTTGCTCTGCCTCAGGCAGCAAAATGTCTTGGGCCAGCCCTGATTACAAGAAAGAACAAGAAATAGGTGCAACATAGTCTGTGACACAAGTGCCTTGTGGCACGGCTCCTTAGGGGGCGTGTTTATCCAGCCCCCACAGCTTTAGCTAGGGCCCTCCTAGTCTGGGGCTTGGGCCTGGCCACGTTAGCTGAGCTCAGCACAGAGAGAGCATGCAATGTTGACCCCTGTGACTGGCAGCCAGGATGATGCCTCTGGGTTGGCCTGGCCTGGCCACCATCACACCATACATTTAAAGAGCTATGATACCACTTTAAACTGTCATGGCTTCCCCCAAAGAATTCTGGGAGCTGTAGTTTGTTAAGGGTCCTGAGAGTAGTTAGGAGACGCTTTTCGCAGTCACATATAGGCACTTCCCAGAGTTCCCTTTGCAGAGGGATTGATTGCCAAATCACCCTGGGAATTGCAGCTCTGGGAAGGGAATAGGGGGTCTCCTAGCAACACTCAGCACACTTAGTGAACTACAGCTCCCAGAATTCCATGGGGGAAGCCATGACATGGTCATCAGGCCCTGGCTTGGTCATCAGAGCAGCATGGTCTCCACTTCAGTTCAGATTTGGCTGCTCCTGTCTCCAAGCCAAGCCTCCAGCTCCGGGAACACAGCCTCCCACCCACCTCAGTGTAAACACTGTGGGATGCAACAAGGGATATGGGGGGGACGACAGCAGTTAAGTAAATATCCCCCCTCCAAACCACCAATTCATTCCTTCCCTCTGCAGGAGGCCCCGCGATACCACGAGCTGCCGACGCTGGAAGAACGAGAGGCGGTGGCAGGTGCTGGCCCCAGCATGGAGGACGAATATCTGGACCAGATCAACCCCATTTATGACGCGCTCTCCTTCGCAGCCACGGAGGAAGAGGCCGCCATGGCTCCCATGTCCACCGACAAGGCCTTTATCATGTCCAGGGCTATGTATGTCTGAGCCCTGAGGCTGGATTTCCACCCGAGGCCCAGAGATGAGGATGCTGTATCTCACGCTGGTCCTGGAGAGATGCTGCTTCTTTTGACGCTATATCCCGTTAGATGCCCAGCGTGGTTCCCTTGAAAATCCCGGGTTTCTCGTGTGCCTTAGATGGGCCGGAGCACGTCCTGCTCCAAGCAGGCCTTCTCATTCCTTCTGTTCCTTCTCCAGCAAGGCCAGAGCTGTCCCACCATGCCAGACATACGTAGTGCCTTCATCTTTTGTCTTTTGAAATGGGCCTGATGGCGGCTTATACCCTCCCAGCCTCTCCCAAAGTCTAGTGGGCCTTCCTGAGCCAGATTTCCCTGACCCTGAGCCATCTGGCTGTCGGACAAATGCTACGTTTACAGTAGAATCCAGAGTCCTCAGAACCACTTCCCATGCGTGGATACAGGGGCCAAGTACCTCTTGCAGCTGCTCCCCCCATGGAGCTAGCTATTGACTCCTGCTATTGACTCCTGCCAAAGCCAGTTGGGGAGGGGGAGGTGGATTTTATACCTCCTTAGGTACCCCCCCCCATTCTCTTGGTGCCCCTGTATTAACCTCTCCTGCCTGGAGGATGCCTGGCACCTGGTAAAACGACGACTCCTGGGCTTTGCCACTTTGTATTGCAGACGGAGGTTGCCCGATTGCTCCCCGCCACCCCCAAAAGGGAAAAGAATCCTACACAGAGAAAATGGGCATGTTGGGAAGAAGTCTTGGCTAGACTCCCCCAGCATCTAGTTTTCTCTGGGTGAAGAGTTTTCCATGTGTGTCGGGGTGGGGGAGATTCAGCCGCGCAGTTCCATCTGCACTCTGGAACGGAACAACACCAGAAGAGAGCTTTTTCTCTCTAGACCAGACTCTGAGATACAATTGGATCTTCACATGACATGATCACGCCTTGGTGAACGTTTAGGCTCCTTCCAGAAGGCACAAGAAATGCCTGCCAGGTGCCTGGCAAGCACCACCACAGTGTTAGCCATCTTTGGGGTTTGACGTGCTAGATTCCTCAGCCATGGGGTGGGCAACTTGTCGCGGGTACTCCGCTTCTCATTGTGTCCTCGAAACGATCTCGGCATGCGCTCCCAACTGCACATGGCGTCTCCCACCAAGCACCCAAGAGTATTGCTTCCTCCTTGCCCTAATACACTGCCAGCCCCAGGGAGTTGGGGGTTCCCCATGTGAATGAGTGCAAAAGATAGGGTCTCTTGCTGTTGAAAGCTGAACTCTCTTCCCCAAACAACCATATGCACACCCCCCGGGAGGTTTCAGCTGCAACAGAATATGCCTCGTAGCCTTCCTGCAGAAAGCCAAGGGCAAGTGGCATCTCCTTCTGCGGCAGTATTCAAGGAGTGGCTGGGCAGGTCTCCGCAATGAGTGCTTTTTAAAAAGGGGCTAGGACATCCCTGCTTGGGCTGCCTCCCAACTGCAGTGTTGAAGGTTCCAATTTAGCACTAGGCCAGGGATATGAGCTGTGACAACCTTTTTAGCAAGGGGATTGGAACGGGACGGACTTGCGCAGGTATCTGTGCATAACGATCTCTCCTTGGCCTGCGGCACGTCATCAGGACTCGACCCCATGCCAAATCCTGGAACCTGAAGGGTGGCAAGGGAGCTTGTGCTGCCCCACTCGGCTCTGGCCAAGGGAGGGGACTGCAGGGAGAACAGCAAGGAAGGATCTTCACATCAGTTGGGCAAAGTAGGTCATGTGGCAGCTCCCTATAAAAGCTGCCAGGCGCAGGTTACTGTTGCTGTGTTGCTGGCAAGAGGCCACTTTCGTCCACAAGCCCAAGTTTGGAGTGCTGTGCCTGATCTCGCCTGTTACCCCAACAAGGACCAGTTAGGCTGGCAGGGACTGTTGCAGTATGACGTCGCTGTGAAGCCTTCAGGTGTCTGCAGCACATCTGGCAATCAATCAATCAATCAATCAGCCAATCAACCTCCCATCTAGATTTAGTCACTGTCCAGAAGTTTGGTGGACCTTTAGTTGTTGTTGGCCTCCCAACAGCTTCTACCAGCATTGCTAGCGCTAAGAGGTAGTGATGGGAGTTGTAGTCCAGCAATGCCTGGAGGTCCCCTGGTCTCCCAGCCCCACACATAAGAGGATACATGGGGATCTTTCCATGTTTCAGAGTTTCCACTTTTGAGTGGGGAGGTTGGTGCCACAAACTCCCGCTGGCATGATTTTCCTATAGCTCAGGCTCCGGTTGCTACTTGAATTGTGAATCTGTTCCCCAAGAGCTCAGGAGCCGCCCGGGTTTCCGGGCTCCTGATCTGAAAATGTGAAGGGTTGTTTTGTAGGTTTGCTGTTTTTAGCTGTTGCTTTTTTGCCACTGCTGCTGTTTCCCCTGGGCGCAGGTACAGATTGGCGCTGCAGGATTTTTTATTGTGATTACGATTGTTTTTTACTACCTGTTCCTCTTGACTTCACTGATCTTAACACTAATGCCATGAATCTCAGGGTCTGAGGGAAGGAATGATTGAAACACAAGATGCCTTTTCCCCTCAATGCCCTTTTCGTGCCTTTGCTTGACGCTGAATGGACAGATCTCAGTGGGAACACAGATGGACTTACTTCTTTTTTAAATAAACTTTTTACTGATGTTGTTTCTTAAAAATAAATGTTTTTCAAACCCTCGTAATGACAGCATAATGCTTTGTGGGTGAGGAGGGCCTGAACAGTTCCTGATTTGTTATCTTGCAGTGGGCTAGGTGTCCTGGGGAGGGTTCGGAGACGTCCACCGATTTGATGCCTAGATAAATAATGAGCCTTGGATCACACCCACAACATATATAGAAAGCACGAGGCTTCCTCACAAAGACTCTTGGGAAGTGCCGTTTGCTCAGGGTGCTGGGAATTGTAGCTCGGTGCAGGGTAAACTAGAGTTCCCATGAATAGATATTGGGAGGAAGAAGCAATTTCTATCTCCATATATATATATATATATATATATGGAATATATCAACATTCTGGGCGTTGGCCTGACGTTAAGGAAAGACAAGGATCCTACAAGCCTCCCATGTGGGTAACTATGGAAACCTTCGGCGCGCGGAACCCAACGGCGCTCACAAAGATGGCGCCGCCCGTGGGGTTTTTCCCTTTACTTCCTCCCACCTATCAAACTCTATGGTTTTTTGGCGGGCCACTCTTGCCCCTTCAGCTCGGTGGCCACCTGACCTTGCTCCTGTTCTCCGCAGCTGACCTTGCTGGCTTGGCGGGGGTCGCTCCGCCTCTCCATTAAGAAAAGCAGCCAGTGACAAGGCGGCAGGGAACCCTATCCCCAGCGCCGTTCGAAAAGCAACCAATGGGGACGCGGCGGCCCCGCGGAAAGAGAGACCAATGGCCGAGAGGAGCCCGCATTCATTCCCATAACCGGGCCAATCGGGGCGGACGGCACGGCGAGCCCAACCAATAGGGAGTCCGTGCTTGGAGCGGAAGCGGCGGGACACGGCCATGCCTGCGAGCCACGAGGGGGGGTTGCCTGAGGGGGCGAGGCTTGTGTGCGCAGCAGCCAGTCGCGCCGCGGCGGAGGGCGAGCACGGGCGGCGCTGGCCAATGGCGGCGCCGGGGGGGCGGGGCTTGTGGACAGGCGGGTTCGGGTGTCCCCCGGCTCCGGCTCTCTCTGCTGCTGCTGCTGCTGCTGCTCTTCCTGCCGCCGCCGCCACCGCGTGAGTTGGGAGCGGGGCAGGAGAGTCCGGGGCCGGAGGGCGGCGGGGCTCCGGCGGGGCGGGAGGGGAGGCCGCGCGGGGCGGAGAAGCAGGGCAGGGCAGCTAAGCAGGCAGGGAGGCAGGCAGGCACGCGAGGGGGGAAGGAGGGGGAACCAAAATGGACTCTGCAGTGAGGGGAGTGGGAGGGAGGAGCTCTGGGAGAGGGTGGGCCCAAGGGTGGGGGAGGGGAGGGCCCAGGGGTGCTGCTGGGGGGTGGGGTGGGCCCAGGGGGTGGGAATCCCTCCTGCTGCGAGAGGATCTCCCTCGGCCCAAGCCACCGGTTCCCGCTTTCACGGGAATGGCCGCAGCTCGTCGGCAGAGCATGTGGCTTCCGCTCAGGAGGTCCCAGGTTCAAGCTGCAGCATCGCTCCCCCCAGGTATAAAACTCCTGCCTCAAACTCCGGAGAGCCCCTGGTGGTGCAGCAGCCTGTAGCCCCATAGCCTGAAGTGGGGGAACATGGAGAAGATTGTTTCTAGACTTGTTCTGAGTGCGATGTTGGTGTGTCTTTTAGAGTGGTCTACAGCTACACGCAGGGCTTGCCGATCAGAAGGTCGGCGGTTCGAATCCCCGCCACGGGGTGAGCTCCCGTTGCTTGGTCCCTGCTCCTGCCAACCTAGCAGTTCGAAAGCACGTCAAGTGCAAGTAGATAAATAGGTACCACTCCGGTGGGAAGGTAAATGGCATTTCCTTGTGCTGCTCTGGTTCGCCAGAAGCGGCTTAGTCATGCTGGCCACATGACCCGGAAGCTGTACGCCGTCGGCCAGTAAAGCAAGATGAGCGCAGCAACCCCAGAGTCGGCCACGACTGGACCTAATGGTCAGGAGTCCCTTTACCTTTACCTTACAGCTACATGCACATCAGATCTGCCAGGGTTTCAGGCAGGAGTTTCCCTCGCCACTTCCTGGAGATGCTGGGGAGAATTCTGAATTGGCCAAAGCCTCATCGCAGGGCCACCTGGAAGTGCCCCACGAGCACTAATGGTGATCTGGCGAGTGCTAACTAAGTAATAGAGAATCTGCTTTGGATGGCGAAGGGCGCAAGTTCAGTCTCCCAGAAACTCTAGGTAGGACTGGGAGATTTTTCCTCATGCTCTGGCTGAAAACTTGAAGGGCAGTTGCCAGCTTTGTGGTGCATCAGCCTGGAATACGTTTGGGGGTGAAGACTCTGAATTTACAAATGTTTCATTGCATGGTTGCCTGGAAGTGCTCACCACTCACCACAGGTGACCCGGTGAGCGATTACCCAGTGGCTAGAGTATCTGCTTTGGATGTGGAAGGGGACAGGTTCAGTCTCCCGGCAACTGCAGGTACGGCTGGGGAAAAACACGCACACTTCTGAAACCCTGGAGAGCCACTGTCAGCCAGTATGAACTGGACTGAACTGGGTGGATCCCCATAGTCAGACTTGTTATAAGGCAGCTTCCTACGACTGCAGCCTAACTGCAAGACCTGGGAATGTCAGCTCAGACACTTGCGCAGGACGGCAGTCTTGAGTATCGCAGGCTTCCCCTTTTGCTCCTGCTGTACTGTATAAGCATTTCAGTCCAGGTGGTTCTTGGCATGTATACCCTGATGCTTCAGAAGTGCTCCCTTTTTAGGAGAAGGGGGCTCAGTGGTAGGGCATACGTCCCAGTTTTGGTCATCTGCATCTCCTAGTAGGGCTGTCAATGCCCCCTGCCTGAAACCCTGGAGAGCTTTTGTGAGTCAATGTACACAGTACAGTGGTACCTCAGGTTACAGACTCCGCTAACCCAGAAATAGTGCTTCAGGTTAAGAACTTTGCTTCAGGATGAGAACAGAAATCGTGCTCCAGCAGCGCGGCGGCAGCAGGGGGCCCCATTAACTAAAGTGGTGCTTCAGGTTAAGAACAGTTTCAGGTTAAGTACAGACCTCCGGAACGAATTAAGTACTTAACCCGAGGTACCACTGTATTGAGCTAAATACACTCATGCTTTTAGGCCACTATTATAAGAGCTTTATACTGGGTTGTGCTGCTGATCTTTCTCCACTCACTCCTCAACCTCCCTTCCCCCAACTGTGGGTCCCCAGATGTTTACTACAGCCCCATAGCCTGTAGCCCCATAGCCTGAAGTGGGGAAGCATGGAGAAGATTGTTTCTAGACTTGTTCTGAGTGTGATGTTGGTGTGTCTTTTAGAGTGGTCTACAGCTACACGCACATCAAATCTGCCAGGGTTTCAGACAGGAGTTTCCCCCGCTGCTTCCTGGATATGCTGGGGAGCATGTAGCTTACCACTGAGCTACAACCCTGTCCTATATTAAGCCAGGATACTGCTCTGTCTCTTCTGTCAATGAGTCCTGCCATTGGTCAGCAACCAGTGGAAGCAGATTGACCCAGGCCATCGGTCTGCTTCTTTGAACCTGATACTAGGAATTGGTGGCCATATTCCAACCTTTGCTCATTGCAAAGCATAGGCTGTCACATTGAAGAATGGCCATTTCTGAAGGCCCTGAACAAAACCTTCCGCTTGAGCAGTTCTTTCCTTCTCCCTAGCTCCTCGCCATGGGTAATGTCCTGGCTGCCAGCTCCCCAGCGCCCCCTGCTGCCGTGCCAGGGCCGGGTTCTGGCCTCGTATCGGTTCCACCGGGATTCTCCATGCCCCCTGTCAGTGGGCTGGTTCCCCCAGCAGCAGATCGTGCCACAGAAGACAAGTGTGACCAGCTTCCCAACCCAGGCACCTTCGAGGAGTGTCACCGCAAATGCAAAGGTAAAATGCTCCACCAGCACATGGCAAAGGAAGGCAGCACCTACCTCACGGGACTCTTGTGCTCCTAAAACAAAAGAAGCTCATGTTTCTCCGTGTTGTCAGATTTCCAGCTTACTGAGTTCATATTTTGCCATGCAAGTTGCCTGTTTAGAGCATGTCTCTGGTGTGTCTGGTCTGTGCGCAGACTCTGGGATCCTCTCTTGATATTTTTTTTTATTTCATGCACATTGCGTGTTCCATCATGTAAACTGAAAGCTGCATCTTTGGGGTTTCCCACGTGGTGTTTCATCCAGGCACTGAGCAGATCCAGATCTACTATGTGACTTTGGATTGGATCCTGGGAGCATGGAAGTAAGACATGCTCTGAGAGTGCTCCCATCAAATTAGTGAGAACCCCAGTTTCTTTTCTGAAAGCAAAAGCTGCAATGCTACGTTTTCACGATAACCTAGCAGCGATGTGTGCTAAAGACTTGGTTAGCCAGAAGGCAGGCAGAGACCCTGATCTGTTATCTCTTCTCAGTGGCTAAGAGGGAGCTGCCAAGGCAGACGCCAGTTCAAATCTCCCCTTGGCCATGAACATGGGTAGGCAAACTAAGGCCCGGGGGCCGGATCCAGCCCAATCGCCTTCTAAATTCGGCCCATGGATGGTCCGGGAATCAGCATGTTTTTACATGAATAGAATGTGTCCTTTTATTTAAAACGCATCTCTGGGCTATTTGTGGGGCCTGCCTGGTGTTTTTACATGAGTAGAATGTGTGCTTTTATTTAAAATGCATCTCTGGGTTATTTGTAGGGCATAGGAATTCGTTCATTTCCCCCCTCCCAAAAAAAAATATAGTCCGGCCCCCACAAGGTCTGAGGGACAGTGGACCGGCCCCCTGCTGAAAAAGTTTGCTGACCCCTGGCCATGAACTTACCACTTGACCTTAGCCATGCCTGCCTTATTTCAATGTGCAATATGGGGATAGCAGCGCTGGCATTATTTGTAAACTTCTTCTAAGAAGAACTGAAAATTCCTTGCTGGCTTTCAGTTGTATATCTGTGCAGTAGAGTGTTTAGTGTGTGGGACTGAGACCTGGGAGACCAGGGTTCAAATCCCCATTCAGCTGTGAGACTTCCTGGGTGATCTTGGGCTAGTTACAGTGCCATCCTAATCTACCGTGTAGGGTCTTTCTGAGGACATTATGGCGCGGGGTAGCTTGAGTAGCTTAAAGTGACATACGTATAAGTGTGAAGGTAATGATGGCATGCCGTTTTGCACTTTTTAACAATCCTTTATTTTGTGCTAAATGCTTAATTCTTTTTATTAGACCTCCTGCATTCATTTCTTGCCTTTCTTTCATGATGGAGCATTGTAGAGGCTTTCTGTGCCTTTCCCATCTGATCTCCCATCCAGCCACTGACCAGGCCTAGGCTTGGCTTCAGCAAGGCTGCTATATGCTATGGTGTCACACCAGACACCGGAGCGTGGCTCTGTACAGGCAGTGACCGTTTCATGCAAGGGTTCCGTTCCCAGTCCCTGTGCGCATCAATGGAGTGTGCATAAGCATGCCCTGCCCCCCATCCCACCCCCGTTCTGCCCTCTTCCAGATCAAAAAGACTGGCATGTCAGCAGTTGCACGTCAATTGGACACGCCTAAATGGCCTCCACCTGTAATCTGTCATGTCCTCCGGCTGTGCAGAGTACTTATATAAATAGCTATCATATAATTATTCCAAAAACCTTGCAGACACTTTTTGAGAGGGCATCACTGTTCCAGGGGCCAGAGACAGGCTGTATTTTGCCCCTGCGCCTTTGGTTCCCCTTCCCTAGCACAGGATGTATATTACTTGTGATATGGCCAAGGATAGCTTGGCCATAAAATTCCATTCCTTAGGCAGAAGGTTTCGGAGGGGCTGTCACTTTCCCGAATCTGCTTCCCATCTTCGCATGCGCTTTTAAAAAAATGATTCTAGCCCAGAGTTAGGGAGACCGTTTCCTTTTGACTTCTTGTGAAAAAGGCTAACAGTAGGCACAATGTATCAGTACTAGTTTCATTCATTTATGTAGTGTGAATGTTGATGGTCCCCTTGCTTCCTTCCATGCCGAGTGCCAACTCTTCATTTAAACAGTCTAAGGCCTGGTCTCACCCATGCTGTGGGACAAGGCGGTTAGATCAACACGGACTGGGCTAGAGGGTGTGTGGGAATCACTTTGTGTGTGTGTACCCCTGCATGGAAAACTTGCAAGCGAGAAATGAGCACATTCCGGGAGTGGGGCTAGCTTGGAACCTTTATCCCTGCCATGATAATTGAGTTCAGGGACAGCCAATGTAGTATCCTCCAACTCCCATCAGGCCCAGCCAGTATAGCCAGTTGTCAGGGATGATGGGAGTTGCAGTCCAATAACACCTGGAGGTCATCACATTGGCTACCCAAATTTCGTTATTCAATTTGCAGGAGGTTCCCCCCCTCCCCCTTAATGCAAGGAAAGCATTCAAAAATAGCAGTTTATGCAGAGAGACACAGCCTGAAGTGGTGCAGCGTATTCTACCAATTCATTCTGTACACTAGACCAGACTTCAGCTAGTGCAGATCAGACCTTCTGTTTTCCAAAAGCTGTTTGCTCTCTTAGGTTTCCTGCCAGAGGCCTGAAGGTTGGATCTCATGGCTCTGCCTGCTTACCTGTTTTTATTTTTACCTGCATGTTCATGCTGACTCCCAGTATGGAAAACACTTCCACACTCTCTCCCGATTGCCTGTAGCATGTCCTGCCTTTCATTCAAGCAGCTCAGGGTTGCAGGTGCTGGGTTCTCTCTCATTAGCCTTGCAATGAGAGGTAGGCTAGGCCCAGAGTGCGGCCAAGTGGGAATTTGAACACATTTCCTGTAATCAGACACTGGGCATCTCTGGGAGAGGCCCTAATAGCTCTTGTTTTGAGCAAGGGAAGCTTGAAAGGACAAAATGTGACCACGTGATGATCTGACACCCTCTTTTCTCACCGTTTCAGAATTATTCCCCATCCAGATGGAGGGCGTGAAATTGACTGTGAACAAAGGTCTCAGCAACCACTTCCAGGTAAGAGTGACTCCTTTGAATTTGCAGGCAGTTTGAGAAAGTCACTCTAGAGATTTTGGGTTGAATCTAACTAAGTATTGATTTCAGTGGGCTTACTCAGCGAATGAGTTGGATAAAAACTATTGTAACAGTAAACCAGGGACGTGGGTGGCGCTGTGGGTTAAAGCACAGAGCCTAGGACTTGCCGATCAGATTGTCGGCGGTTCAAATCCCCGCAATGGGGTGAGCTCCCATTGCTCAGTCCCTGCTCCTGCCAACCTAGCAGTTCGAAAGCACGTCAAAGTGCAAGTAGATAAATAGGTACCGCTCTGGAGGGAAGGTAAACGGTGTTTCTGTGCGCTGCTCTGGTTTGCCAGAAGCAGCTTAGTCATGCTGGCCACACGACCCAGAAGCTGTACACCGGCTCCCTCGGCCAATAAAGCAAGATGAGCGCTGCAACCCCAGAGTCGGTCACGACTGGACCTAATGGTCAGGGGTCCCTTTACCTTTACCTTAACAGTAAACCATGCTTTGCAGCACACAAGCCTGTTTTTAGCCCATAGTAATTTTTGCAAGCAATATTTTGCATTAACCTGTGCAAATGTTGATTTAACTGCCTATCCAGTCCTATCTGTTCTTGGTATTTGTGATGCATCAGCCTAAAATATATGAGAGAGAGAGAGAGAGAGAGCACTCTGAACTGACAATGGCTTCAAAGTGTGGTCACCTGGAAGCAGTCACTGCTCACCACAGGCGATCTGGCCAGCGGTTGCCGAGGGCTCAGTGCTAGAGTATCTGCTTTGGATGCAGAAGGACACAGGTTCATTTATTGGCACCCACAGATAGGACTAGGGAGAGACCCCTGTCTGAAATACTTGAGAGCTGCTACCAGTCAGTGTAGTCAAGATTGGGCTAGATGGACTTACCTGGTATACATTGGCTTGCTGTGTTCCTACATCTTAGTTTCACGTTGCTGTTTCACACATTTGTTGCCTTCAGGTCAATCACACGGTGGCTCTCAGTACGGTTGGCGACTCCAATTACCACTTTGGGGTGACGTATGTAGGGACAAAGCAGCTGAGTCCCACAGAGGTAAGTTTGCACGCATTGTGGTGGGGATAAACAATAGGTGTTGTTTCTGCGGATCTTGAGCATCTGAATAATTGGGTCATCCTGACTGTCTCTCATCTGTCTCAGTCAGGATCACTTTCTCCCATTTTATTTATTTAAAATACCATTTAATCACCCGCAGCAAAAGGTTTTGGGATGGCGTGCAAAAGCACGAACAACTTTTACACGACATAGAAACATGAATCTGAGATCCTTCTGGCCATAACTTTTGTTACTCAAGGTTAGAGAACGGGTTATAAATATTTTAATAAAATAAAGTTGAAACAAAATGAAATCAAACAAAATGTATAACTCAAGTTAAAATAGTTGTATTTGGGTACTCATTGATTGGTAATTTGAGGGTTCTTGATAATAGAACCATAGAATTGTTGGAGGGACCTTATGGGTCATCTAGTCAACCCCCTGCAATTTGTGTCTGTTATTCTTATTCTTACTACTTTACTTTGTTCTCAGAGTTGTATTTCATGTAATTATGATAGCCTCCCTTTAGACTGTACCTTGGAACAGAATTCGAACAGCTTAGTTCCCGAATGTTTTGGCATAAGTGCTCTACCTAAACAAGTTACTTATTGGTTACCCTTTGAATGTGCCTTTGTTCCTCTCTCTGCCTCAGGCCTTCCCCGTTCTGGTGGGGGACATGGACAACAGCGGCAGCCTCAATGCACAGATCATTCACCAGCTCACAAACAAAGTTCGCTCCAAGGTGGCCTTCCAGGTACTGAGTTGTTGGCTGAGCTCCTCCTCCTCCTCTTCTCCCTTCCCACAGGTCCTCCTGCTGCTGCCATCTTTTTGCTGATCCAGGCCTTGCAATATGCCCTGGGCCCTTTGGGTCACGGGGTATGTTGCTGGCCTGTGATTGAGGCTTGTAAATATCCCTCTTTTCCTGATCACCTACGGCGAGCAGAATTGCCTTCCGGTGACCAGGGAGGTGCCCTGCACTGCAAAACTAGATTCCCATTTAATTTACGACTACCAACTGACTAATCCCTGTCCATTGCTTAGGATTGGTTGAGGAGACTTTCTTACTTTATTTTTATATTTTAATTGCAGTGTCTCCCCCTCTTAGTCTGCTCTCTCCACCGTCCCTCTTTGATTTGGGGATTTGCAAGGGTGGGGAAAGGGATTGGCCGTGGGATTCCCTGTTGTATGTCTTGATAGCGATTCAGCCTCTCGGCGTCTCCTCAGAGAAGGTGTATCTGCCTGCAAGGCCAGGCTGTGTACTTGAGATCTCTTAATGCCTTGACAGTGGCTACCGACAACTGACTTCTTGCCCCATGTGTCTCCCAGCACATGGTGGTTCATTGTGGCCCTTGCATGTCAAATTCCTTGTGCCAAACAAATGTTTCTCCTCCCCCCGGCCATCCAGACGCAGCAATCAAAATTCGTGAACTGGCAGGTGGATGGGGAATACCGGGGCGCAGACTTCACTGCAGCCGTCACGCTAGGGAACCCCGATATCTTAGTGGGTTCAGGTGAGAAAGCTCCCATTCTCCTCTCCTCATTAGACTGGCCTTTGGCGTGGGTCCCTCTGTCTTGAGGGTGTGAGCCACATGGCTGTATTTCTACCTGTCAGGTCCTGACCAATCCCCTCTCCTCTCCGCCCCACAGGGATCCTGGTAGCGCATTACCTACAGAGCATCACACCTTGCCTGGCGCTGGGTGGGGAGCTGGTATACCATCGCCGCCCGGGAGAGGAGGGAACCGTCATGTCGCTTGCTGGGAAGTATACAGGTACCGACACAGCCTGCCAGATCCGCCCGCGAAACAGTTCCCGCAAAGCATCTCAAAGCAGTTTCACTGTAAAAACAGTTTCATACGTAAAAGCAGCACAGATGCGGAATGGTATACAGAATTTAGGGCCGATTTGAACTGTTCTGCGTATCTCACTGCTTGGCTCTCCTTGGCACCAGTGTACACACAGAGGATTAGGGTTGTCTCTCAAAAACAGAGGCAGGAAGGATTAGGCTGCAATTTTCAACTCCTTTAAAGAAAAAAGATAACATTCCTGATTCTCAACATGCAATTGGGGGTGGGGTGACCAGTGCTAGCTTGAAGAGCCAAGCCTTTGCAGGTTTACTTAAAGCGATAAGCCTTGTTTGATTTTTGTAGAGTTTTTAAAAAAATTATTTTACTCATTTATTGAATTTATATACCGCCCTATACCCGGAGATCTCATAGGACTTCAGCCTTTGACATTCTGGGCACTGGGAAATAAAAATCAAACTATGTCCACCACGCTTTTCCTTGGAGTTATTACATGAATGATGCCGAGAGGTCAAATGCAGGAAAATGGTGCTCTCTGTGGCTTTGATGCAGTTGCTTAAAAAATATAATATGCTACATCATGTATTTGAAATGCCCCCTTTCTGCCTTGTTGGGCCCCTAATGCTCAAAGTCTTTAATCTTGCTGTGGGTCAGGGCGGGGCCAGGACAGATGAACTCTGCTTGCCCACCAGGTCTAGTATCCTATTTCCAACAGTGGCAAACCAAACGCTGCCAGGAAGCCCATAAGCAGGGTGCAAAGGCAAGAGGGCTCATTATTTTCTGGTTAAGAGTGTGGTGCTGATAATGCCAAGGTTTGCAGGTTCGATCCCCGCGTGGGACAGCTGCGTATTCCTGCGTTGCAGGGGGGTTAAACTAGATTGGTGTTTCCCAGACTTGGGTCACCAGCTGTTTTCAGACTACAATTCCCATCATCCCTGATGACTGGTCCTGCCAGCTAGGGATGATGGGAGTTGTAGTCCGAAAACAGCCGGAGACCCAAGTTTGGGAAACAGTGGACTAGAAGATCCACGGGGTCCCTTCCAACTCTGCAATTCTATGGTGGCTCCCTGTAGCTTGGAGGTGGGGAACCTCTGGCCCTCCGGGTGTTGCTACACCACAACTCAGATGCCCGTTCTTGACTGTTGGCCGTGCTGCTGGGGGCCGATTAGTGTTGGAGTCCCAGCAGCACCTACAACAGGGGTCAGCAAACTTTTTCAGCAGGGGGCCGATCCACTGACCCTCAGACCTTGTGTGGGGCCGGACTATATTTTGGGGGGGAAAATGATACAAGAGCACCATGAACCCCGGTGGCTACTTACCTGTGTCTTGCGAGCAGCAGAGGCTGATGGCGGCGGGATGATGAGCGGCACACGAAATGGCTCTGGAGAGAGGGGCTGCTTAAAATGGCGGCTGCTCGAGTGCTGCTGCTGCTGCTGGCACCAACACAGCCCAGCCCCCTTCCTCCTCTAGGCAGGGCGGGGAGAAAGCAGGAGGAGGGAGGGACGAGGTGCCGCCATCATCGTTTGAGGGAGAGGGAAAGAGAGCGCGTGCTGGCAATCCACACAGGGATTCCCGGACTGTCCGTGGGCCAGATTCAGAAGGCAATTGGGCCTGATCCGGCCCACAGGCCTTAGTTTGCCGACCTACGAGATCACAGGCCTGCCACTCCTGTTTTTCCAGCTGCTAAGGACCAGTGACAGATCCATGGAGGAACAGGCCTGATGTTTTCCGAAGGAGAGGCTGGGTTCCTGGGTTCTCAGCGATTCTTTCTCTCTTTCCCCCCCTCAGCACCTAACTGGATTGGGACTCTGACGCTAGGGCAGGCTGGAGCACACGCCACGTATTACCACAAAGCCAGCGATCAGGTTAGTGGCCGCTTGGAGATGGTTTGTGGGGCCAAGAATAAAGCAAGGAAATACCTCTTGCCACGAAGTCTTCCTTCCTTGGACCACCTCCTCATCCTCCTCCCTTTCTGTGTCCTTCCAGTTGCAAGTGGGGGTGGAGTTTGAAGCCAGCACCCGCATGCAGGACACGAGCGTGACGTTTGGCTACCAGCTGGACCTCCCCAAAGCCAACCTACTTTTCAGAGGTATGGCATCCGTCTCCATCCCGGTTTAGACCGCATGTTTCTACCCATGGATAATGAGGCGTGGTGGGGAGACCTGCGTCTTGAGAGTTTCCCTTTTTGCTTCAGTTTTGAATATGCTGATTCCTGGCTAGCTGGCACCCGCCGTGTGGAACGCCCTCCCATCGGATGTCAAGGAGATAAACAATTATACAACTTTTAGAAGACTTCTGAAGGCAGCCCTGTTTAGGGAGGTTTTTAATATTTGAGGTTTTATCATATTCTGTTGGGATCTGCCCAGAGTGACTGGGGAAACCTAGCCAGATGGCCAGGGTATAAATTATTATTATTATTATGGCACGGCTCTGGGCAGAAAGGACCCCAGGCAGCCTCTGACTGCAAATAAATGTATGAACATGATGCCAGAGAGAGAGCGAGGGAGGGACACACAAATCCACGCAGACAAAATACAGTTTAGGCCCGCCTCGTTCTGCCGGCCAGCCTCCACCGCTTCTGACCACGGCTTTCACCCTTCTCCCTTCAGGCTCCGTCGACAGCAACTGGATCGTAGGAGCAGCCCTGGAGAAGAAACTCCTCCCCCTGCCCCTCACGTTGGCGATGGGCGCCTTCCTCAACCACCGCAAGAACAAATTCCAGTGTGGTTTCGGCCTGACCATTGGCTAAGCCCGCCAGCCCTTCCTCCTCCTCCTCCTCCTCCTCCTCCTCCAACCCCCACTGATTCAGTGCAGCTCGCACCCACTTTGCCCCGCCACCTGCATCCTCCTTCGGCTAGGGGTCGCCTCCATGGGGTGGGCGTGTGGGGCCCGGGGAGCATGGGCGCGTGGGGATGGAGCAGGATGCGTCAGGGTGCAGCTAGCTGGTTCTCAGGGAACTTGGGGGCAGGGGTCTGCGTGGGGCTTGGGGGGCTTCTTCCCGGCTCCCCCTCTGGGCTTCTGCCCCCAAGGTACGGTTTTTTTGCAAGAGCCAAAGGCGCCCGTGACATAAGCAGCTGCAATCGCTGCTCTGCCTGCCTGCTGCCACTAGAGGGGGGTGCTGCTTCGGGGATGGGGGGGAAAGGCCTCTTCTTCTTTCTAAGGGGATCTGTGGCTGCTGGCGCGGCAAGAGGGGGGCACAACGGTTTGGGCTTGGCATGGGGGGGCGTGGTTCCTGCACCCAGAACGGGGTGCTTTGCGATGGTTCTCTCCCCCTTTGCCTTCCCTGCTTTTCCTTTCTATTCCGAGAATTCTTCCTGACCCCCCCAAGCCTGGAAGGGCAGAGGCAGGACTTTTGAAGATTTTTTTATATAAAAAAATGTCAGTGTATCCTAGTCTTTAGCCTTCAGGGCTTTTAAAAACCCACCGCCAGGACTCCCTCAAACCTTTCTGCAGTGTGTCTGGGGAATGTTTGGGAACTCACAATCTGCCCTCCTTTTTTTTAATTATTAACATTATTCGACCCCTCAAATCGAGTCTGCTAAAAGTCCAGGATTTCATTTTTGTTCTGCTGCCTTCTGCTTTTCATTCAGCCTCCCCTCCCTCCCTACACCTCCCCCTCTCCCTCCACCTGCCATCAGGGGTTTTGCCCTCTGTTGGCTTCTGTGTCTGCTGGATGTCACGGCGCCGCTCGCCCCTCGCCTCCTCTGCGCGGAGAAGCTCCACGGGACCATAGCAAGAGAGAGAGAAAGACGTCTGCCCCGCGTGCCTCCCGCTGCTGCCCTCTGCAGAGGTGGCGGGGGAAATCTCTGCATGCCCTCCTCCCCTCCTGCCGCCAGAGACTGAGTGTAAATCATGTTTATAAGTTAATGGAAATGAGAGGATCTTTTACAGAAGAAGAAGAATCTGCAAGGCAAATGCTGCCTCCCTCCACTGCAAAGTTGGGAATATCTGGTTCCTATTAAAACAAAAAAACAAAAAAAACCAACATCAGCCACTCTTCCTGCTTGTCTTCCTTTTCCTCCCCCCCCCCCCCTTCCGATCTCATAGACCACATAACACCGGTCTTGAAAGACCTACACTGGCTCCCAGTACGTTTCTGAGCACAATTCAAAGTGTTGGTGCTGACCTTTAAAGCCCTAAACGGCCTTGGTCCAGTATACCTGAAGGAGCGTCTCCACCCCCATCGTTCTACCTGGACACTGAGGTCCAGCGCTGAGGGCCTTCTGGCGGTTCCCTCACTGTGAGAAGCCAAGTTACAGGGAACCAGGCAGAGGGCCTTCTCGGTAGTGGCACCCGCCCTGTGGAACGCCCTCCCACCAGATGTCAAAGAGAAAAACAACTATCAAACGTTTAGAAGACATCTGAAGGCAGCCCTGTTTAGGAAAGCTTTTAATGTTTAATAGGTTATTGTATTTTAGTGTTCTGTTGGAAGCCGCCCAGAGTGGCTGGGGAAACCCAGCCAGATGGGCGGGGTATAAATAATAAATTATTATTATTACTATTGAGGAGGGAGCTGTTGGAGATCCACGACTGAGGCTTTTTGGTGCTCACTTGGTGTGGTTCCATGATAAGTCCTGTGAATTGGCAGTGGTGGAGTCCAGTGACCATGGCCTGAGCTGGGCGCTAGAACGTCCCCAGTCAGTGTGCATCTCTGCCAGGAAGTCAGTTGGTGGGAGTGCAGTGGGCAGATAAATGAACTTTGACCTGGGCTCACATACCCACCCACTCGGCCAACAAAACTCTCTGCTTGCCCTTAAGCTGAGCCTGTCCCAACCTACCTTGCAGGCTTGTCGTGAAAACAAAAACTATAGAGGTGATGGGAATTCCACGAGCTCCTTTCCGTGGCCTTGTTTGCATGTCACTCTTTAACCATATAAAATAACTTGGTTTAAAAGTGAGTGTATACTTTGCTGCTCCTTCCTGCAGTACACCAGAGAGGAGATGAACCAAAGGCTGGCTCCATGATACATGCAAACTAACATTGGTGGGTTACCTCCAAACCAATAGAGCCAAGAAGAAACTTGTGGTTTGTTTTGATAAAACAAAATATGTGTGCTGCTTTGCAAGTATCACTGAAGCCAGTCTCTGCTTTGTTTCCTTGCCAGTGTGCTGAGCAGCAAAGTGTGTATTCATTTAGTTTATTCTAAGTTGAATGAAGGGATGCGGGTGGTGCTGTGGCTTAAACCACAGAGCCTAGGACTTGCCGATCAGAAGGTCGGCGGTTCGAATCCCCACGACAGGGTGAGCTTTCGTTGCTTGGTCCCTGCTCCTGCCAACCTAGCAGTTCGAAAGCACGTCAAAGTGCAAGTAGATAAATAGGTACCACTCCAGCGGGAAGGTAAACGGCATTTCCGTGCGCTGCTCTGGTTCGCCAGAAGCGGCTTAGTCATGCTGGCCACATGACCTGTACGTCGGCTCCCTCGGCCAATAAAGCGAGATGAGCGCCACAACCACAAAGTCTGCCACGACTGGACCTAATGGTCAGGGGTCCCTTTACCTTTAAGTTTAATGCAGGTATTGCCAACATAGTGGCAACATAGCATGCCCCCAGGCCAGGCCATGGGACGTGCTGTCTGCAGCTGATGCCAGTTTTTGGCTCCCCAACATCTGCAGGGTCACAGGTTCCCCACCCCTGATTTAAAGTGGTGTGAGACCCAGGCCAGTGTTGGTCTTCTGTTTGCACTACAGACTTGATTCAAACCTGCTTCACAAGCAGCTCGTGAAAGGGCTGCTGAGATGAGCAGTGTGAAGCAGTTTGGATTGCTCAAAAGGCAGAACATGAAAATGGTGGTTTATTGCAAGGCAAGTATACCTTTGCAATCCGAATCACAGAGCCTCCATCCCCAGGTGGTCTGGGACTCACCTGTGTGTGACATGCAGCCATTTCACCTAAAAGCAATCAGGGTTTTCCAGCTCTGATGTCCAGCTGAATCTGATTTACAGTTTGGAAAGGCTGCTTCCCAAGCAGCAAAAAATGCATTGTGCAGACTTTGGGAGGGTCAAAGGACTGTGCTGGGTCTTTCCATAATACAGCAATGATAATTTTATTATTTCTACCCCACCCATCTGGGTTGCCCCAGCCACTCTGGGCATTTGGGGCAACCTCAATGACCAATAGAAGTACCCCTACACTCCCCAACTGTAAAATCTGTCAAATGGAGATTTCATTAGAACGCTGAGGTTCCTGCATGCTGCCTTGCTAAGGCTCACATGCAGATTCCCCAGCGATTTGGTGGGGGGCGAGCTTTTAAAAAGGCAAGCTCCATTTCCAAAGTAATTGAGCTAGCAAGTCACTCGGGGTGACCCAGATGCCGGTGGCTGAGAGTGAGCGTGACTCTTGCGCTCCTTGCACATGAAGACTGATTTGCAAGAGGAGGAGCTGTTGGAAGAGGGATGCAGCCAAACAGCTGATTGTGGAGAGTCAAGACCTCTCTGTCTAGACAGCCCTCTTGCCTTTCACCTCCTCCCCTGAAAATATGGGCTGCTGGGGGCCCTCTCCTTTGCTCACTCATCTCCCCGCTGGCTCGGCAGAGGTGCCTGAGCACTCCTTTCCCACCTGACGCAAGAATTGATCCGCTCAAAGGTGGCCAACCGTGGATGGTTAAAAGTGGGCGAGGGAGCTGACCTTGTGTGCTCCTGGCAGAGGCCACTCCAGGTGGAGAGTTTGGTAAGGGGGGGGGGGCGTGCAGTCTAAATCTGGGCTGACAACTGATCATATTTTTATATTTAAAAATAACACCTTGATGAGCCATGGGATGCGAGCCAAGTGCTAGAGCACATGATACTTTGAAGCCTCAGAGAAGGTGACAGTGATAAAATGTTAAAGGAATAATCGTGTTTTCTGGAATTCCTTTTTCCCTAAGGAAGGGCAACAAGGAGATGGAGGAGGAGGAATTCGACAGGCCCTGGGCTGGTGCTTATGTAGGGAGGTAACCAGGGATGCGGGTGGTGCTGTGGGTTAAACCACAGAGCCCAGAGCTTGCTGATCAGAAGGTCGGCGGTTTGAATCCCCGCAACAGGGTGAGCTCCCGTTGCTCGGTCTCCAGCTCCTGCCCATCTAGCAGTTCGAAAGCACGTCAAAGTGCAAGTAGATAAATAGGTACCGCTCCGGCGGGAAGGTAAACGGCATTTCCGTGCGCTGCTCTGGTTTGCCAGAAGCGGCTTCGTCATGCTGGCCACATGACCCGGAAGCTGTATGCTGGCTCCCTCGGCCAATAAAGAGAGATGAGCGCCGCAACCCCAGAGTCGTCCGCGACTGGACCTAATGGTCAGGGGGTACCTTTACCTTTTAACCAGGTGAGGCCACACTGAGATTGATGGAGTGATGCTCCATCCTAATGCCTTCCCTTGTGTCATCTTGCAAATTTGAAACCTGCAAGACAGTGTATGAAGGTGGGAAGACAAGGACCGCCAGAGAGAGTCCGGACTAGGCCTGCTTCTGCTCTGGTAAAACTCTGCATGCTCAATCTGGTCACAACACGAATGTGGCAAGCTGCCTTCTACCGATACCATTCACCTGGTTCGGCCTTGTCCGCACCGACTGCTGGCAACTCTCCGGGGGTTCAGGCAAGGGACTCTCCCAGCTCTGCCCGGAGGCGCGGGAATCGAACCTGTGACCTGCACACAAAGCCCATGTTCTACCACTGGCTGTTGTGCCATGAGGAATGAATCAAAAGAGGCAGCCTGGTTGTGAAACTAAGAACCGTTCGGAGCCTGTGCTGTCCTTTTGCTCCTGTTCATGGTTCCCAAGTCCACAAACCTTCATCCCCTCGTCCTTGCACTGCAGGGGGGTTGGGCTAGATGACCCTTCGGTGTCCCTTGCAACTCCACCGTGCTTTGATTCTATGATCTCTACCCTTCCTAGCTCACTGAGCACCCCAGAGGTTATTCAGGGACAGTGCCCTGGCTCTGGGAGGGGCCTGGTGGGGTGGCAGTCGTGCCACCAGGTCTGCAGATGCGATTCCCAAATCCTTATCTCCCGCTGATCCAACTATAAATATAGACACAGGGAGAGAAGCTGGCCTACTCAAGAGGAGCCAATAGCCTGCAGAGCTAGGTAAGGAGAGCAGCCGCTTGGGTGGGGTTTGAGACCAGTGTGGAACTGGATACAAGCAGAGTTTGCTCAGATAGAATTCAAATTTTCTCTGGTTGCTGATTTCTATGCCATCCGAGGTAAATGTGTGTGTGTGTGTGTGTGTGTGTGTGTGTAGCCATTTCAGTTTATAGTAACAGATGGGGGGGGGGTAGAGACATAATCCATATACAGTGGTGCCCCGCAAGACGAATGCCTCGCAAGACGGAAAAACCGCTAGACGAAAGGGTTTTCCGTTTTGGAGTTGCTTCGCAGGACGAATTCCCCTATGGGCTTGCTTCGCAAAACGAAAATGTCTTGCGAGTCGAGATTTTTTTTTCGCTTCCCCCGCCCCCCTTTATCTAAGCTGCTAAGCCTTTAATAGCCTTTTAGCAGCTAATCCACTAAACCGATAAGCCTTTAATAGCCGCTAAACCGCTAATAGCGCTAATCCGTTAAGCCGCTAATAGGGTTGCTTCGCAAGACGAAAAAACCGCTAGACGAAGACACTCGCGGAACGGATTAATTTCGTCTTGCGAGGCACCACTGTACGTAGAATTGTTTCAGAAGTTTTAAGTCACTTGTAACCAAACTTCATAAACAGTTTCTTAATAGCGGTGCAAATGTTTGAAGAAGTGAGCTGATGATGATCCTGCCTTAAGTCAGGTGGCGGATTTCAGACCAACACAAGCAGATTTCTAGAGGGGATGGCAGTTTTGCCCTCTACACAGGCAAATAATGCAGTGGAATACTGAAGCCACATGAACAGGCTGTTAAATCACTGTTGCCAGTAGGGCCTGGCGCCCACTGAGGCATGTAGGGCCGGAGGCCAACAGCAGGTGGCACCAGAGCCAATGTTTTCTAGTTTTGCCCTTGCCCTAATCCCTGCTTCAGGGGCGGCACTGAGACTAATAAGGAGGAAGCTGACTGGCAGCGCCACCCCCTGGTTGTAAGCAAGACGGCAGGCAGGTGGGAGTTGGCTGGGGATAGGATCAAGCTGTAAAGTTTTGGTCAGGGATGGGCAGCTGACAATTGACCATGCTGGCGGGGAGCTGACGAGTGTTGGATTCCCATAGAATCGGGAGGGCAGCAGGTTAGGGATAGCTGCCCCATGCCTCTAGCAACAGCTGATCTGCAGAAATCAGCTTTTTAATAAAAAAAATGCAGGCAAGGTTCTGCAGGCAAGGTTCTGCATCATTAAGGTAAAGGTAAAGGGACCCCTGACCATTAGGTCCAGTCGTGACCGACTCTGGGGTTGCGGCGCTCATCTCGCTTTATTGGCAGAGGGAGCCGGCGTACAGCTTCTGGGTCATGTGGCCAGCATGACTAAGCCGCTTCTGGCGAACCAGAGCAGCATACGGAAACGCCGTTTACCTTTCCGCCGGAGCGGTACCTATTTATCTACTTGCACTTTGACGTGTTTTCGAACTGCTAGGTTGGCAGGAGCAGGGACCGAGCAACGGGAGTTCACCCCGTCGCGGGGATTCGAACCGTCGACCTTCTGATCGGCAAGTCCTAGGCTCTGTGGTTTAACCCACAGCGCCACCTGCGTCCTTACTGCATCATAACTGCCTGGCTATGTCTGTGGATCAAGTTGCTTACTGAGGTGCAGGAGCAAAAGCTAGAGGGAAAGTGAGCAACCCTGTAGGAACTTGATGACCTTTTAACTTTGTGCAATTAAAAGAAATTCCTAAACTTTAGGCCCAAACCCCCCTGGAAAATACTACTAGTATTCCCCCATCCACCTTTTGGTTCTGGAGTCAAATCCTTTTATATGATGACATTCGCACCCATCACCCTGAGGTCCCAGGGGAGCTTGCAACCACTGAAAGAGAAGGGGTCCAAAGTTAAAGACATGCCTCCTCCTCGTTCACAGAAAGCTGTCTGACGAAGACACCAGGCACACGTCTGTGGGAAGGGGGGATCCACAACTCGGGGGCTGCCCCAGAGAATACCCTCTCCTGGGCCATTGCCCACCCTGAGTTTTTGAGGGCAGGGTGATGGGTAGCAAGCGGGAGAGAGGCCAGCGGGCTCTTCTCTTGCCAAACCGCTTTGGAGCCCCGGGTTAATGAGTGACAGGGTCAGAGTGGTCAGCCTGCCCTGCCACCCCATAAATGGATGCCTTTCCTCTCTTTTCTGACATTCGCCATTATTCTGCCTTTCCAGTGCCTCCCTGGGCCCATTGCACCATGAAGCTTCTTGCTGTTTTTCTCAGCTTGGCCGCCATCCTAGGTAAGTAGGGGTCCCTCCAGTTAGGCTCTCACCTGCCTGATTCCCCTCTTACAGCATTGGCAAACACAGTCAGGATCTAAAAAACCTTTCAATGCAGTGAGTTGGGAAAAATACCTACCCTGGCCCTACACAGGATCTGTGGCTTTTAACAGCTGCATTGCAAGCAAAAATCCCACAGGTGCAGATCTTCCTGGCACATAGAAAGTGGGTGAGATGTTATCTGTTGTACTTTGACCCGTCGTGTATTAATGAAAGATGCAACGCTTCAGTCAGGAGGTGAATAGTGGCGGGCTGGATTCAGCTAACCCACCCCACTGGCAGAAGCTGGTACAATGAGCTTTCTCCCCCTATGGACCCCCATGCCTCCCCCAAATCTCCGGAGGCTCAGGTGAACCCCCCAGAACAGCACCTGGGGAGAGGAGAGGGGAGGTGGTTCCACAGGGCAAGCAGAAATTCTTGTGTTGACAGAACTATCTCCTTAGCACTGCATTGAATTCCACCCAATAATAATAGCAGCAGTTTGATTTGCAAGCCTTTGTAATGCTGATGTCAGTTTGGGCAATTCCAAAGGCAGAAGGCAGGGCATGAGTGAGTCCCATATGCCTGTAATAAAGGTATATCCCACCCTGTTCTGTTTCACAGAGACCAGAAACGAGTCTCTGGTAAAAATTATCCTCAGCATTTGTCTTCTGGAGCTCTTGATAGAACTCCAGCCCAATGGTTGCCATTAATTTGATTAATTTGATTTTGAATTGATTTTAGAATGAGTTGATTTTAGAATGCATTTCAATTAATTGATGGTGATTTTATGCAAACTGTGTTACTTTTATTGTTGTTAGCCACTCTGAGCCCGGCTTTGGCTGGGGAGGGCGGGATATAAAAAAATTAATATATTATTATTTTATTATTATTGATGTGAATCTTCACCAGTTCACAGAATTATAGAAAGGGATCCTGAGGGTCATCTAGTTCAATCCCCTGCAATGCAGGAATCGTGCCTGCAGTTGTCCCTGGGTGGTCTTCATCCATCAAATGGTGGCTTAACTCTCTTTCCTCCCCAATTTCATGAAATTTGTCCCTTCAGTTCAACTAGGGCACCCAGGGCACCTAACAACAATACTATGAAATATTAAAAATTACAATAGACTAACAATAACTAAAAACAACAAGTCTGTAAAAAGGGGAACGGGGGAGATCTCCAGCATTAATAGATCTAAGAGCGAAGGTAAAAGGATGGAAAATGCGAAGGCGTGGAAAAATAAAAAGACCCCTTGCCTGGCATGGAAATAATAAAGAACTTGGTGCTGGGCAAACCTCTCTGGGGTGAGGAGAGACTTGCAGTTCCATAGGCAGGGCGGTAACCACTGAAAATACCTTTTTCTGGCTGGCGCCCTCTTTCCCTCAGAAGGCATAGCCCTGAAGATGTTCGTGATAACCAGGCACAAAGGTCACTGATCCTCGTGATCCTTTGAGACCTGCCAAAATCAAAACACCACCGAGATGCCCAAACAGGCCACGTCAAACAGTTGTGGCTTCCCCCAAAAGAATTCTGGGAGCTCTGGCAAAACTGACATACAAGCTACGGGACAAGGATAACTGTGACTTTAAAGATGAATAGGAACCTTTTACAAAGTATTTGAAGAGGCAACAAAGCGAACTGGACTCCTAGGCTGGCTTTGAATAAACATTCACAAACTTTTTATTGATAATAATCAGCTAAATAGTTTGAGGATCTATACAACTGTGTAACATGCAGAAAACAGCATTTTTAGAGAAATCAAAGACTGGGACTGAGGGAAGTCGGGGGGTGGGGAGGGAGGGGAGGGAGGAAAAATGGGGGGGGAATAAGGATGATATGTTTCTGGGTAATATGTTTTGTTTTAATTTTGAATAAAAAAGTTATTTAAAAAAAGAATTCTGGGAGCTGTAGTTTGCTAAGGCGTGTAGTTTGCTAAGACACTGAGAGCTGTTAGGAGAACCCGGTATTCCTCTCCCTGAAAGGTTTAACGGCCAGTCTTTATTTCCAGCAAACTCTGGGAAGTGTAGCTCTGCGAGGGGAATAGAGGTCTCCTAACAACACCCTGCACCCTTAACAAACTACAGCTCCCAGAATCCTTTGGGAGGATTTAAAGCGGTGCTGTAGAAACGTGCTGTGAATGTGGCCACACTCTCTTTTTCTGAGGTAAAAGAATTCACACTTGTGTCAAGGCAGGAGAGCCTCAAGGCCAATTCCATAAGGAGGATGCATTCTTATAAAGCTAGGGCTGCCATAAGTCTGGGATCCATCCATCCAAAAATGGTGTCCAGGTGGAATTTTCAGAAATCGGTTATAATGGCTGGGAGAAGCCAGGCATATGGCAGCCCGTATCGAAAATGTTTAATTATAGGCTATTTTATCCCAATAAAATAGTTTTTAAAAACTTTACCTGTTTTGGAGATTTTGCAAAAAAACGGGGAGGAGGACGCTCAACAACTTTCGTGTCTGGATTTTCACTTTTTGATGGCAACCCTATTATATGTGGCATCCTCCCTCCCTCCCTTCCTTCCTTCCTTCCTTCCTTCCTTCCTTCCTTCCTTCCTTCCTTCCCTCCCACAGGTTCTGCTTCAAGCGATGAACCTGTGAGCACAGCCCTGACTTGGGAGCAGATCCTCAGCCCCTTTCAAAATTTCAAGCTACCCGAGGAGATCAGGTGACACAATATCTTTATATAAACACACAAACCACATCACCCTCCCAAGCACAGGTTGTACTGACCCAGACTAGGGCTGACATCACGGGATGCCACGTTGAATTTGATAAGAGAAATCTCCAAGGGTGATTTGAAATCTCTACCCTGGGACTAGACTTATGATGCAGCAGATACAAACGTGGTTCACTCAAAGGGGCTTCACAGAGACGAGGGTCTTTCAACATCATCTAAGAAGCTGGAATTTAGAATGGGGATCCTGGGACATAGGTACATCTCTTTCCTTGGAACTGCAGGTTTAAAATGTACTTAGGCTTCCTTTGGGGTGTGACATTTATCTCCCAAAGGAGGCCAGAACACCAGGGGCAGAGCAAAGCAAAGACGCACATGGTCAGTGCAAGAGCCCAGCTGGATTTCCCCTCCTGCTATTTATTGATCAACGTTTGTATGCTGCTTAACTGTCCACGAAGCCTCTAAGTGGTTTACAAAAGTATATATATAATATACATTACAATTGCCAGTAAATGTTCAGAACAAGTTTATAGCAAAAGCAAAAGTATATAAAGCCCTTAACAGCATGGGAATACTTTACGTGTGGGGATTGCCTTACCCCACAAGTGCCCACTTGATCACTTTGATTTCTGGCACTGGAACTGTTACAGCTGACACATATAACATCTATTTTCACATATAATTATTGTAACAGCATCTACACGGTGGCAATCTCTGCCTATTGACCGCAGGCAGGCGTGTTTGCTGTATTTCTTTTTTGGCACCTGCTTAAAACATTTTTGTTTTCGCAAGCCTGTCCAGACATGTCAAATGTGTTTACATTTTTTTTTAAAAGATTACTGCTGATTTTAACTATATTTAAAAGGCTTTCATTGCTTGTTCTCAGTTGCTTTTAACTGAGAATAGTTGTATTTTTGTAAACCCCTTTGAGGTTTTATTACAATTAAACAGGGCATAAATGTTGTTAAGCAAATAAATAAATTACCCTCGTATTCCATGAATTTGCCTATCTTAGTTGGTAGGCTCTACGTGCGGCTACCTTTGAAGGTGACTCGGAAACTACAACTAATCCAGAATGCGGCAACTAGACTGGTGACTGGGGGCGGCCGCCAAGACCACATAACACCGGTCTTGAAAGACCTACATTGGCTCCCAGTACGTTTCCGAGCACAATTCAAAGTGTTGGTGCTGACCTTTAAAACCCTAAACGGCCTCGGTCCAGTATACCTGAAGGAGCGTCTCCACCCCCATCGTTCTGCCCGGACGCTGAGGTCCAGCGCCGAGGGCCTTCTGGCGGTTCCCTCATTGCGAGAAGCAAGCTACAGGGAACCAGGCAGAGGGCCTTCTCGGTAGTGGCGCCCGCCCTGTGGAACGCCCTTCCAGCAGATGTCAAAGCGATAAACAACTACCTGACATTCAGAAGACATCTTAAGGCAGCCCTGTTCAGGGAAGTGATATTTTACTGTATTTTTGGTTTCTATGGAAGCTGCCCAGAGTGGCTGGGGAGGCCCAGCCAGATGGGCGGGGTATAAATAATAAATTTTTATTATATTATTATTATATAGGCATCAGCGCAGCTTGCGGTAGGTTTCACCTGTGTGTTGTGTGAAGAAGTGCTTGCTTTTGCCTTTTCCTCCTGAGAAGGAGAAAGAGAAACCAGCTTCAATAACTGGCCTCAATACGGCATACTCCTTGAAGGACAACTGGCCTGTAGGTTTCTCCCTGGCTAAACTATTTCTCCTCTGCTTCCGACAAAAGAAGAATGGCAGACAAAATTAATGGACTATGTAGAATTGGACAAAATGACAGGAAGGGTTCGAAACCTGCGGGACCAGAGATTTACAGAAGATTGGAAGAAGTAGATGAATTATTTGAAGAGCAACTGTAATCAACAAATTACACTAGTAGGACTACAAGAAGTTTTGTAAGGAGAAATATATGAAGTGTTACAAAGTAGAAAAAGTTAGAGATATTGCTTATGAGTTTGAAATGTAATAGGGAAGATAAGAAATGCATACTAAGAGATTAGATTGGAAAATTTTCAGACAGGACTGATGGAAGTAAAAAAAAATTGAATAAGATGTAAAAGTATGTTTAATTACTGTTGAAAATGATATGTTAAAAAACTAATATATATATATATAAAACTATTTCTCCTCTGCAGCACCCAGGCTGCTGACAAATTCAACAGAGTCCAAAGCCACCTGGCAGAACTGAAGGACCAGCTTCTTCCGGCCCTCCAAAAGGTGACGGAGGACCTGCAGGAGCTGAATCGGAAGGTGCAACCTTTCGCAGAAGCTCTGGACCAGAAGTTGCGGAGTGGCATCACCAAAGTGCATGAGCGCGTAGCCCCTTACACCGAGAAGCTGCAGGAGCAGGCAGAGCAACGGATGGAGACCTTGCAGCAGACCCTGGCCTCTGGCAGGGAGAAGCTGACCCAGAACGTGGAGGATATTCGAGCCCAGCTGGAGCCTCTTGTGAAGGACATGAAGACCAAAATCCAACAGCAGACCCAGGAGCTCCGCCCCGTCATCCAGCGACTTCACGGCAATCTCAGGCAGACCTACAAAAGCTTGCAAGACTGCGCTGAAGACTTCCCGGGTTGTCTGGCCAAGTTTATGCTGCCGCCCGAGTGAGAACCCGGTCTAGCAACCAAGAGGGGGTGAGCAGCAGGATAAGGATGGAGGGAGTCTGGCCTTTGTGCTAGAAATTCGCAGACAGGCGCCTAGCAAAGGTTGAAGCAGCTGAAGAGCCACACTCTCCCTGACACAACGACTCCTTATGCCTGTAAACATCCCCTTAATGGAGCAATAAAAGACCTAGCCTTCAATTACCCTTGTTATCTTTGTGAATTTCATGGGGATTGTGTGTGTGTGTGTGTGTGTGTTGGAGAGGCAGGGAAGGAGTATGGACATTAAACTGAGGTAGGGATGAGATATCTGAATTTCTGCACTACAGTGGACGCTCGGGTTGCGAACGTGATCCGTGCGGGAGGCACGTTCGCAACCCGCAACGTTCGCAACCCGCAGTGCTGCGTCTGCACACGTGCGGGTTGCAATTCGGCGCTTCTGCACATGCACAAGCGCCAAAATCCAAAAGTACCGTATTTTTCGCTCTATAAGACACACCTTTTCCCTCCTAAAAAGTAAGGGGAGATGTGTGTACGTCTTATGGAGCGAATGCAGGCTTCTCGCAGCTAAGCCAGAAGCCAGAACAGTGAGAGGGATCACTGTGCTCCCTCTTGCTGTTCTAGCTTCTGGCTTAGCCGCGCTCTGTCCCATCCCCCACCTCCCGGAAAAGCCCGCAAGAGCCACGCAGAGCGTGAAAGGGAGCGCTGAGCAGCGCCTGGGATGTATACAGGCTCTGCTCAGCGCTCCCTTTAAAGAATATTTTTTTCTTGCATTCCCCCTCTAAAAACTAGGTGCGTCTTATGGTCAGGTGCGTCTTATGGAGCGAAAAATACGGTAACCTTTTCCGGTACTTTCGGGTTCGGCGTGGTGCACAACCCGAAAACACACAACCCGAAGCGCCTGTACCCAAGGTATGGCTGTACTTTATACACAATAGACTGAATAGCATCATTTAAAGTTTTCTAGGCCATCTTTCTGCTGAATCTCTCAAGGCAGCAAACAGAAATTCAGGATTATGGGAGGAGAGAAGAGTTAAACCACCACTTGCCTTGCCATTCTTGGTTCCTGAACCAATCAGCCACCCCCTGCTTTTGCAATTTTGTGGAAAAGCAGAAGAAAACTCTACACTTAAAAGGCACAGCTAGGTAGCTAACAGAACATGTAGTTCAACCATTGTCACATATCCTGCAATGCTCTGTGGAGTAAGCACCATTTTGATCTGCTTCTGCCAGAAAAAGAGAGAATGCTATTAAAATAATTTTTCATGCCCTGCACCCTCCATAGAATAAAGCACATGCTGCCACCGTTATGTTAAAAAAAGATTGTGGAGTACTTTAGTCCATGTGTGGTGGTTGTGCCCAGATATTACATCATTGTGGGGGGTGGGATGTCAGTTTTTCAAGAGATTTGTAAAATCGCTTCCCAGGCTTTAATCCTTGATCCACTATTCCTCTTCTCACTTAATCTGTGATGAACAACCAAGAAATGTATTACACAAATAGCCTGTGGCTTTCCTTCTTGTTGTAGCATGCCTTTGCGATTGCCAAAAATTGGAAATAGTCTTCAACTTACCTTTTTCAAGAGGTCTGGAACACAACACTTAAAGGAAAAGTTAATGCATAAACTTGAGAATCCTGAGGAAAGGGTCTGGCTTGGACAAATTTCAAGATACACAGTGCATCTTCGTTACCTTTGCCTCTTAAGAACAAAATAGCCATAGCCCACCAAGACATACTTAGGGCTAAGTAGTCTGGATTAAGACCATTTTATTGAAATTTACATGCATCGCTGAGCCTGATTATATTATAATATATATATATATTCATATTATTCATAATATATTCATATATTATAATATGATTTTATATTATAACAAGTAACAACATTTTCTCCATTTATATTATTATATACAAATGCAATAAGATTATTTTCAGAAAACATTAAGACATAAACACAGCCCTAAACCAGCATCATTAGGGACAGCTCCTTTATTACATGGTTTGGGGGAGGGAAGATATCACCAACAGCCTCTGCTCCCCACCCCAAATTGCTGAGAACACTCAATCCAGTCGCTTCCCTTTTTTTGACCCGTTCTGTTTCAAAGAGTTTGGCCAAGGTTCCATCCTCCATTGCTTATGAGAAGCTTCAGAGATCTGGGGAAAGCACTGGGGGTATGTCAGCCCCACCTCTTAAGAGTCTGTGATGCGTTTTTTGATTGCCTCCATAAGTGGGGTGACGTAGCGCTGCATGGTCTGGCTGAATGTCTCTATGCCCAGCTTGATCTTCTCCTGGGCCTGGTTGGCATAAGGCTCTAGGGACCTCTGGTATTCGTGCAACTGGCGGTGAAGCTTCCGCGCGTAAGGGATCAGCTCAGGCCCCTTTTCTTCCACTTGCTGCTTCAGCTTCTCCTCCAGCTCCTGCACCTTGGGGACGACCATATTTCTCAGGACCTGCGTGTGCGGTCTCAACTTCTCCGCGACGGGGCTGGCGTAGAAAGTCACTAGGGATTCCAGCCCTTCGTAGAGCTCTTCTGTGGCAGACCGTAACACAGCTAGGTTACAGCTGGCGCCCACCAGAGCGTGCCCAGACAACTGAACTGCCGCGTGGTAGGCCTGTGTGATTTCGGGCGGCAGATCAGCCTGCAGGTCCTGGATGTACTTGCGCAGTTTTGCAACATCATCGCGAAACAAGATTCTGTGGGGGTTCAGAAGGCATAGAACGTTGTGAGTGGGATACAGAGCCAATGTGGTAGAGTGTTTAGAACAGGTGTCAGCAAACTTACCACCCCTTGGGCCTGTGTCTCCAGCACTGATCGCGTGGCAGGCCAGAGGAGCGCGTGCCCATACGCGTGCACACATGCTATTTCCGGCGCACTTCCGGGTCGAAGGAGCACCAGAAATAGCTTGTGCGCATGTGCACGGGCCTCCTCCAACCTGGATGTGCATTGGAAATAATGCTTGCACATGCGCAAATAACGCGCATGCTCACAAGCTATTTCCGGTGCTCCTCCAACCCAGAAGTGGGCAGCCGCGCAGCGCCAGTAAGAGTGGGCGGCGGCAGCGGGGGTTGCCGTGGGCCAGATAAACGAGTCCCTTGGGCCTTATCTGTCCCGCAGGCCTTAGTTTGGGGACCCCTGGTTTAGAATACTGGATTAGGATCGGGGAGGGGGGAGTGTTGGACAAATCTGTCCCAGGGACCTTTCCCAGATGGATTCAAATTTCTCTTTGAAAGAAGGAGTCTACACCACAATCAGGCATAAGCTGGTCGACACAGTACTGTGGGCAACACCCCCCCCCGCCCCCAGCTCATGCTGTAAAGAGGGGATTGCGCATTCCAGGTCTCATCACAGACAATTTATACCCTAAAACCCTTCGAATATCCGTATTGGTTAAGAAATTGTAGTTTACAGGTTTCCCTAAACACCCATTTCATGCCTACTCCCTAATATTACCCTAATATGTCCCCCCTCCTTTATATACATCCCACGCCCATCTAAATTAGCAGTTTCGTCAACAGGGGTGTGTTTTCAAGTCATCCAGCCCTCATAAATCAGGAGGCAGGTATGTCCAAAGTCCGTTTTGGGGGCCTAATCCAGCCTGCCGGTTGGTTCAATCCGGCCCCTGTGGCAGTTCATTTCCTGAGGTAAAACCCTAAAAAAGGGTCAACAATTTTGGTCGGCCCTCACACACGTTCACTTCATCAAATCTGGCCCTCTCTGAAAAACGTTTGGGCACCCCTTGGCATAGGCTATCGATCTACTTCTAACACATTCCTTACTTAATTGTACATTCTAGCAGAAAGAATCCTCTTAGGGAGGATTCTAGCTTGTCAAACATTTGCTTTGTCTCATTTGCAGTGTCTCCAGCAATGTAAAACATGCAGATAAACAGTTCTGCAAAGGGGCCCTTCTTTTGGGCTGTTTTGAACCTCTTTGTTCACAGAATTGGACTTAAGGCAGGCATGGTCATCCTCACCATTCCTTCTCTAAGAATAAAACTCATTTTCATTCATTTATTCCACAAGGAGTCAGAACCCCAGTCAGTCATGAAGCTCACTGGGTGACCTTGGGCCAGACAAGGACCCAATCTACCTCGCAAGATTGTTGTGGGATTAAAGTTACACACATGAAGTTGCACTTCAGAGGAAAAGTGGCATAATAAACAAACAAACAAAGGAGGCAAACTTCCCTCACTGGGCGAGATATTCCAGAATTGGGGAGACAGCCTTCATGTTACACTTTTAAGGACATTTCATAAATTCCTAGAATGAAAAAATTAACAAAGTAGAAGAGGAAGTAAGAGCGGGGTGGGGTGTGGGGTAACCTTTTAGGCCCCAAAGGCTATATACTTCATTCTGGGCAATTTTTCTGGGACCACCTTTCAGTGGTGGCCAGGCCTAGAGGCAAAAGTTTGTGCCAACTACGAATGTAAATTTTCCCTTTTGTGCAGTAGGCTACCATTTCTACACACACTCAGACTTTGCAGTCTATATCCCAGCAATCCAAGCAAGAGGCATTAGCAGAGTCAGGGAGACTTATTCCAGCCATGCAAAAGCTCTCCGACCAGGAGGAAGCGACACAAAGTTGGTGAAGTGTATGGCCTGTGGGGAAAGGGTGTAACTGGGGCAGACATGTGACCTAGAGAGTGTGCCCCAAGGGCCAGATAGAGAGGTATGGAGGACCACAGTTAGCTCCCAGGCTTCACATCCTTGCAAAGGAAAATCTAGCAAAGAAGAAATCCTGTCAGCCTTCTCAAAGCTGCAGTCCGTGAAGTCCCTAGTTAATGTCCCCAATCCCTTAAATTGGGGGAAAGGAGACGGATCTGCTTACCTCAGTTCTTGTCCGAGCCTCGATCTTCTGACAAAGTTCAATTTATCCCATGCTTTCTCGCTGACCTTTCCCAGGAGTTTAGTGAGGTCGTGCTTTAACTGCTCCAACCTGGAGACTCCTTTATCCATTTGGGCAAAAGTCGAATGGCCTGGGAAAAGAAGCAGAACATCTGCATCACGTCTTGTTGCGCAGGAAGTAAGGTGGGGCGGCTGTGGTCCTGGTAAACTCTGGCGCGCGCTGGCCTATCCGAGATATCAGATCGTGGCCCTCGTGGACCAAGGAGGTAGCTGCCCGGGCCCCTCTGTCCTGCCAAGGTCGCCAAAATGTTGAAAGGCAAATCTGCTGCCACAACTTGCACCATTAACTACTAGTGAGTTGGGTTGAAGAAAGAATCCCGAAAATTTATTTACTGCAGTAAGAGTTTCAGCAGGATCGCTCTACAAAGGTTGAACCCCACCCAAACGCCCTGGAAGAGGGGTTCTTTATAGGTTTCTTACACAAAGCATTACAATTTCCTCCAATCATATGCGTTCTCATTGCCTCATTCAAAGAAGCATACAAGCTGTTGTTAGCCAGAACTCATATGGTGATATTATTTTAACACGGTACTATTGCAAATCAAATTCCTAGTCCCATTGCGGGGGGTGGGAATGGCTGGGTAACTTGACTTTTGGCATAAGGTAAAGGTAAAGGGACCCCTGACCATTAGGTCCAGTCGTGACCGACTCTGGGGTTGCGGCGCTCATCTCGCTTTACTGGCCTTTACTGACTAAGCCGTTTCTGGCGAACCAGAGCAGCGCACGGAAACGCTGTTTACCTTCCCGCCAGAGTTCGTACTTTCGAACTGCTAGGTTGGCAGGAGCAGGGACCGAGCAACGGGAGCTCACCCCATCGCGGCAATTCAAACCGCCGACCTTCTAATAGGCAAATCCTAGGCTCTGTGGTTTAACCCACAGCGCCACCTGCGTCCCTTGACTTTTGGCATAGGTCACATCAAAAAAAGGTTCCTGTGCTTTTTCTGAATATTTTGCCTGTGGTTCCTGCTGTGTGCTGCAGAATTCATACAGGAACTGTGGGGATCTGCTCTTCTTAAGAGAAATTTAAGCTGAAAGGGTACTTTAGGTTACCAAGATAACTACTACCGAAGACGTCATGATTATTTCCCCACCAGCCATCCCCACACAGTTGTGCTGTCAAAGCATCAAAGGAAGAGATTAGATCTACACAGGCCTAGGCTATTGACCCTAAAAAAAGCACAACGTGATTTGCAGAATGGACTCTGCTTAAGCAAACCCAAATCTAGAATTTTGGAGCCTGGAGCAGCAAGAAGGAAATGGGCAATCCTGGCTTGATCATGAGGTGAGTTGGAGACCTACCCTTAGGTGGTGAGTTTGGGGCCCAATTTATGCTGTGGGTTAAACCACTGTGCTGCTTGGGCTTGCCGATCGAAAGGTCGGCGGTTCGAATCCCCGCCACGGGGTGAGCTCCTGTTGTTCGTTCCCAGCTCCTGCCAAAGTAGCAGTTCGAAAGCATGCCAGTGCAAGTAGATAAATAGGTACCGCTCTGGTGGGAAGGTATAGGGCGTTTCCGTGCGCTGCTCTGGTTTCGCCAAAAGTTGCTTAGTCATACTGGCCACATGACCCAGAAAAACTGTCTGCAGCCTGTAAAGCGAGATGAGCGCCGCAACTCCAGAGTTGTTCGCGACTGGACTTAATTGTCAGGGGTCCCTTTACCCTTTACCTTTACCTAATTTGAGAAAACATAATTAAAATATTGTGCCTGCCTCTCCTCAGCCCCCCCCCCCCGGCTAATACGTTGCGGGGGTTGTTGTTGTTGTTAACTCCACCTTCTTTCCAGTGCCATGGCCCTGATCCAGTTCACCAAACCCCCTTCTCAGCTACTTTTTAGCCTTCTATAAAAAGTCAGGACTTATGGATCTCCTGCATTATTTGTTGCTTGATGCTGAGAAATGGATCTTTGTATCTGTCTTGGTAATGTTTCAGATTTTGAACGCACACCACATTCCTGTGTTTTTAAACATCTATATATGCAGACTTAGACCAGCAGCTTAATGATTTGTTTTGTGGTGCATGAGACAAAGCTGTTGACAACCGTAAATAGTATTTATTTTAATCAGTTTGTGTGTTCTGCATCTGATGCAATGTTGTGGTGTTACAAAGCTGACATTGTTTCCTCATTTTGTTATACAGTGGTACCTCGGGTTAAGTACTTAATTCGTTCCAGAGGTCCGTACTTAACCTGAAACTGTTCTTAACCAGAAGCACCACTTTAGCTAATGGGGCCTCCTGCTGCCGCCGCACCACTGGAGCCCGATTTCTGTTCTTATCCTGAAGCAAAGTTCTTAACCTGAAGCACTATTTCTAGGTTAGTGGAGTGTGTAACCTGAAGCGTATGTAACCTGAGGTACCACTATATTGGTGCCTCTGCCTCCCTTCCAGGAACTCTGAGTTGCGTAAGTGAGTTACTCTCAAGGCCAAACAACACATTACAAGGGATATGCTTGAAAACAGCATAACCTTATTCTGCACCTCGGCCCAGATCTGATTGGATCTGTATCTCCAGTCTTAAGGTTAAAAGAAGATTTCAGCACATTTCATATGTTCATTTGAACACAGGTACATGAGGGAGTGAGATCATAATGGCTGGCTTGCTTACGCTGTAGGTATTTGAACCCTTTGCACGTGAAATAGATATCTAATAATGAAAAGTGGAAATAGATCACTGTGGCTTCTACTGGGTATGGTGCTGGCATGAGTCTGGAGATTATGTCTTTATTTGCCCATGCTATAAAGGTAAAGGGACCCCTGACTGTTAAGTCCAGTCGCGGACGACTCTGGGGTTGCGCACTCATCTAACTCTATAGGCCGAGGGAACCGGCGTTTGTCCGCAGACAGCTTCCGGGTCATGTGGCCAGCATGACTAAGCCGCTTCTGGCGAAACAGAGCAGGGCACGGAAACTCCATTTACGTTCCCGCCGGAGCGGTACCTATTTATCTAGTTGCACTTTGACGTGTTTTCAAACTGCTAGGTGGGCAGGAGCAGGGACCGAGCAACGGGAGCTCACCCCGTCGCGGGGATTCAAACTGCTGACCTTCTGATCGGCAAGCCCTAGGCTCTGTGGTTTAGACCACAGCGCCACTCGCCCATGCTATAGTGGGTAATATATTGGACTTCAAACCCTTCTCTCAGCTATGAAGTTCATGGAATGGTCTTAGCCAGGTCACAGTTTCTCAGCCTAACGTACCTTATTGGAAAGATAAAATGGAATAATCCTATAAAGGTTTATTTGCTGTTCTCCTGGTTGCCTTTGAGTAAGGGGATCCAAACTGATAACCGACTCAAGCTTTCTGAAGCTTACTCCATAGTCCTATCTCATTGGTTTTTCTGTATATTGTTTGTTTGTGGCAGGTTTCAGAGTTGGACCATGTTCTTCAGAGAGCATGTGCAACCCAAAAGCCTGATACTTCTGCCAATATTATTGATCCGAGAAGAGATAGGTAACCTCTGGACCAATTTGGAATGTGCCCAAAGTCTTTGAAGAACCAACCAGGCAACTTTGGGCTAAGCAAAATTGTTCCAAAACATGACACAACTCCTTTTAGCTCTTCCAAATCATAATACCTCCATGTTCCAAGTCTGTGAGAAAGCAGGGAGCTCACCCACTCAAAAAAAGAGACTTCAGAGTTTCCCTCTAGACTGAGGTAACCATCTACTCACCTGTGAAGAGGTACAAGACCAGTGTGATGATAATTAACTTCATAGTGGCTCAGCGGAGTATCCTCTTGCTAGGGTGAAGGCAGGGGCTCGCTATTTGAGCAGGGGGTGCTCTGAGGGGAATAAATTATTGCTTCCATCCTCGGCTTCTGTAATTCATTAACACAGGGAGCTGGGTGAGCTTCCTGTTCCATCACCTCGAGTCATTGCCCCCACGTCCAATTGGCACGAAAAGGAAGAGATAACGTTTGAAAGAGCTTGAACTTCAATTTGCCAAGGACAGCAGGTGGGTAGCTAAAACAAAATGAAGGAATTTAAAAACCACACGCAAACTTTGGAAGGGTTCTGTGAGATCAGACCAAAGGCCCGTCTGATCTTGTAACTCATAGGGCCAACTGATGGGAATTGGAAAGAAGATCTATTAATTATAGTTCCTCCTCTATAGGCCCATGTGTGTGGAACAATGAGCAAAGGAACATGGCTGCAAGCCTGTATTCAACGCATGGAGCTTAGCAGACTCTCTGCGCCCCTAGCAGAATTTAATTCTCATCATCAGGCAGTTTTGTGAGGCATAGGAATAGGCTAAGCCTTTCTTTATCCTGTGTCAGGTTCCTTCTACCCCTTCTGCATGAATAGACCACACACTGAAGTATGTTTAAAAATGATTTACTTGCAGATTTAATGTCTCATAGAAATTGTACAGCTGGAAGGGACCACGGGGGTCATCCAGTCCAACCCCCCGCAATGCAGGATTATCAATCATGCATTGTCCTATGAGCAACACTAGAAAATGCAGTCAAAAATATTATTGGGTAGAAATACAGCAATGTAGTTTCTGACATGTGTCTGAAGTTGAGAGCTTATAGTGAGGAATGTCCTCCCTCCGTGGCTCACATTGCGAAGAGGAGAAGGAGGAGAAGGAGAAGGACTACATCACTTCCTCCCTCACTTCCTCCCTACCTGACTGAGCCTACTCCAGCAATTCAAACTCTGTGGTCCTTAACCCCTTCATATACCAACTAGCAAGCATGCAGTTATGTTTTGATTGTAAAACTTTCCACACCAGCTAGGTGCATATTTACTTTATTTATTATTACATTGATATTACACCTTTCCTGCATGGAGCTCAAGGTGGCACAACTGCTTTTCCTGCTAAGCCCATTTTATTCTCACAGCAATGCCCCTGTGAGGTAGGCTAGGCTAAGAGGCTGTGTCTGGTTCAAGGTTACCCAGTGAACTGCTGGAGTGTGGATCAGAATCCTAGTCTGCCAGGTCCTAGTCCAACACACTAACCACTAGGCCACACCGTCTCTCATTCAGTGTTGCATCAGGACTATCCACAGACAGCATCCCTGAACCTCCAGGCAATGTCCACAGACCCCTGCTTTATCCCTGTCTAGATATTGTTTAGAGGGTTTCTTTCTACCCTGCTTTTGGGTAAATTTGGAGTGACTTTTATGAGTCAGGACCCTGTAATGAAGAAAGTACTGACAGTATTGTTGTACTACATGGCATGGGTGGATACCAAGGGGTATCTATTCACCTTTTTGCATGCCATGCACAATTGTATAAACCTCTGTCATCTCATCTCTTTCTTGCCTTTCCTCTCAACTAAGTAGTCCCAAATGGGACGCGGGTGGTGCTGTGGGTTAAACCACTGTGCCGCTTGGGCTTGCAGATCAAAAGGTTGGCGGTTCGAACCCCCACGACAGGGTGAGCTCCCGTTTCTGGGTCCCTGCTCCTGCCAACCTAGCAGTTCAAAAGCATGCTGAAAAGTGCAAGTAGATCAATAGGTACCGCTCTGGCGGGAAGGTAAACAGGGTTTCCATTCATTGCTCTGGTTCGCCAGAAGCAGCTTAGTCATGCTGGCTACATGACCCGGAAGCTGTACGCCGGCTCCCTCGGCCAATAAAGCGAGAGGAGCGCCGCAACCCCAGAGTTGGCCACGACTGGACCTAATGGTCAGGGGTCCCTTTACCTTTAAGTAGTCCCAAATGCTGGAACCTTCCCCCATAGTGGAGTCACACCGCCCCCTTGATACTGCATTTTTTGCTCTATAAGACTCACTTTTTCCCTCCTAAAAAGTAAGGGGAAATGTGTGTCTTATGGAGCGAATGCAGGCTGCACAGCTATCCCAGAAGCCAAAACAGCAAGAGGGATTGCTGCTTTCACTGCGCAGCGATCTCTCTTGCTGTTCTGGCTTCTGAGATTCAGAATATTTTTTTTCTTGTTTTCCTCCTCCAAAAACTAGGTGCATTTTCTGGTCTGGTGCATCTTATAGAGCGAAAAATGCGGTAATTTTGGTTGCCCTTTTCAGAAACTTTGTCAACTCTTCAATACCCTTTTGAGGTGAAGCGACCAAAACTGTACACCGTACTCCAGATGTGGCCACACCATAGATTGGTATAATGTCATTGTGGTAACTGCTGTTTCATTTCCAATTCCTTTCCTAAAGAGCCTGCAATTGGGCTTTTCTGCGGCTGCCACACCCCTGGGTCAACGTATTCATCAAGATTTCCACCACAGTTTCAAGGTCTTGTTCCTGGTCAGTCACCGCCAGTTCAGATCATCTAATGTTAAAATACCCTCTCCATCATCCTGATATTCTTAGATAACATCTATTCTGGTTCTATGGACGGAGCTTACTCGGATCATTCCAAATGGAGCAAACTCTCCTTCAAGAGAATGTCATTTGTTAACATATCACACCATCATAGGGGATCTATAGACATATGGGAATTTACTACGTATACCACCCTGAGGTCGTTGACACCGTGTCCCAAACCCCTGGGGGTGATAGGAAGAAACCAAGCTATGTTTTGCATCATTGATAGACCCTGCTTTATCTCCATGGGGAGATATTTTGGGGGGTGTCTCTCAGTTTCTTGATCTGTTGGAAGATTGTAGTGACCAGGATCTTTTAGGGAAGAAAGAACAAAAAAACCCCATATAAATGGTCTCGGCCCAGTATACCTGAAGGAGTGTCCCCACCCCCATCATTCTGCCTGGACACTGAGGTCCAGCTCCAAGGGCCTTCTGGCGGTTCCCTCACTGCGAGAAGTGAGGTTACAGGGAACCAGGCAGAGGGCCTTCTCGGTGGTGGTGCCCTCCCTGTGGAACACCCTCCTGTCAGATGTCAAGGAAATAAACAACTACTGACTTTTAGAAGACAACTGAAGGCAGCCCCGTTTACGGAAGTTTTTAATGTTTGATGTTTTATTCTGTTTTTAATCTGTTGGGACCCGCCCAGAGTGGCTGGAAAAACCCAGCCAGATGGGCAAGGTCTAAATAAGAAATAATTATTATTATTGTAATGTATCGCCTGGCATTCAGCCAAAGATTGCTGCCAGAGAAGGTTACCGATCAATAAAAGCAAGACAGTCCCTGTCCTTGGACACGAATTTCTTTTTAAAAAAAGACATAGCACAGAAATAAAATGGCTTGGGATGAAGGAGGAAATAAGCCAAAGGAGGTACTGGTTTTGGGGTGCAAGTACTTCCAATGACCAGCTGGATAGAAACTGTTTTGGGAAAGGAGGAGCTGAAAGTGACTGGACTCTCAACTGCGTACATGGAGTGGCCCTGCTGCTGGAATGTAATGGCGCCTGGCACGCTTCACCCTGTGCCGATTTAAGCCTTAAGCTTTCTTCCTGGCTTTTAGCAGAGTATCGCAGCAGCAGAAAAGGTGTCTTGTGTGTGGGTGATAAATTCTCCTCACACCTGCATCCCTTCCTTCATCTGCTACAGTAGGATGCAATTGGTGTTGTCCATTGATAGTTGGCAGGAGCTGGGACCGAACAACGGGAGCTCACCCAGTTGCGGGGATTCGAACCGTCAACCTTCTGATCGGCAAGTCCTAGGCTCTGTGGTTTAACCCACAGCGCTACCCGCGTCTCCTGCCAACCTAGCAGTTCGAAAGCACAAAGTGCAAGTAGATAAATAGGTACCGCTCCAGCGGGAAGGTAAACAGTGTTTCCATGCGCTGCTCTGGTTCGCCAGAAGTGGCTTAGTCATGCTGGCCACATGACCCGGAAGCTGTACGCCGGCTCCCTCGGCCAATAAAGCAAGATGAGCGCCGCAACCCCAGAGTCGGTCACGACTGGACCTAATGGTCAGGGGTCCCTTTACCTACTGATAGTTGGTGTGTGTGTGTGTGTGTAAACCTGCACTGCCTCAAGAGAATGGAGGGGAAGAGGAAAAGTGGGCTCTCCCCGCCTCCCTTGCCTGAGTCCCAAGGTCTCTCCAAAGGTGCTATTTCGAGGGAGCCCTCTATTCACTTGGGCCAATGAAGGCTTCCTCTGAAACTCAAGGAGCAGCTTCAAGGTAGGGAAAGTGAAAGGGACTCCTCCTCATTTCCACCCTGCGGGCCAAGGAAGTTGAGCTCCCCGCTACACAACAGTTATGTTAGAAGACATCTGAAGGCAGCCCTGTTTAGGGAAGTTTTAAATGTTTGATGTTTTATTGTATTTTAATATTTTGTTGGGAGCCGCCCAGAGTGGCTGGGGAAGCCCAGCCAGATGGGCGGGGTATAAATAATAAATTGTTATTATAATATATTATGTGCACAACATAACCCACGTGTTGGCTTACAGGTGTATTGAGAGCGCTTCACTTTTGCTTGTGTGAAGAAGATGTATTTCCAACAGGCAACAGAAGCAGGAGGGTTAAAGAGAAACAGGCCACGCATCGAACAGAGGTTGTTAGGAATGTCTCCTTTATTATCCCATCTGGAGAAGACTTGCACACCAGCCCTACCTCCCAGCCAAGGTCTTGAAGACACAAAAACCAATGTAAGCTTTTCCATTCTGATCTCTCTTTAGATGCCGGGCGAGATTCCTTCCTCGTATACATGTGAGAGAAATAATCATGGATTTGGGGAAAACACTGGGGCTCTAGCCCACTCCCTAAAGTCCTTTTTGTACTTTTGGCGCAACTGCACAATGGGACCAACGTACGGCTTCAGTAAGTGCTTGTGGATTGTCTCCGCTCCTTTTCTGATCAGCTGCTGGATGTGGTCAAGATAAGGCGGAAGGGCTGCCTGCAATTCTCGCAGCTTCTTAATGTGCGGATCCAACTGGGTTCTCAGAGCTTGCACTTGCTGTGGCAGCTTCTCATCTATCTCATGGTTGATCTCCTGAGCTCTGGCGATGACAGCACTGCGCACGGTTGCTGCATACGGACCCACCCTCTCCAGGACGGGATCCACGTACCCCGCCAGGGCAGATTGCAATGCTTCTAAGTTATGCCTTCTATGTCTCTGCAGGTCATACAGGGCAGTGATAGCCTTTTCCGCAACCTGGTATGGCACCCCCAAAACCAGATCAAAAGCTTGCATGACCTCATCAGGTAACTCTTTCTCCAGGCTATCCAAGCGCCTGCTGATATTCAAATAGACATACTCAAGAAATTTCCTGTAGGGGAAAAAAAGAACAGAGAATTGGAAAGCTTTAAGAAGGGAAAAGGAGGGTTTGGGATCGTCAAAACACCTGCTTGTCCCGCTGCTGTTTACCCCTGAATTGGAACAAGTGTCAATAGTTTTTCTGTGGATTGATGTTTGTTCTGATTTAGCGGTAAGCAGTAGATTTTTCTAGGGAAAGCGACAGTGCCATATCTACATATAAGCTAAACAAGCTACAGCTTAGGGCCCCACTCTCTTGGGGGCCTCTAAAAAATTTAAAGGGAAAATAAACTGAATGTACATTTCCAAAATATAAGATGAAAATAAAATAAAATAAAACCTACATACAGCAACAGTGTTTTGTGTTCTGTACGGACCTATTAGTTCTATAAATTACTATATAGCATACAGTGGATGCTTGGGTGGCGAACATGATCCGTGCAGGATGCACGTTCGCAACCCACAGTGGCGTGTCTGCGCACGCACGGGTTGCGATTCGGCGCTTCTGCGCTTCTGCACATGTGCGACCGCCAAAACCCAGAAGTAACCCGTTCCGGTACTTCCGGGTTTCAGCGGTCCAAAACCCGAAAAAACGCAACCTGAAGTGTCCGTAACCCGAGGTATGACTGTATATTCAACACAAAAAACTGCGACAATTTGTTGTTGACAAAGGACAGCTGGACATATAAGGGGCCCCATTACCTTCAGTAGCTGAGGGCCTCATCAAACCTAAATCTGGCCCTGGTGGGACAAACGAAAACCTGCTTGTACCTGCATAGTCACAGTAGGCAGGCCTCTTTTACTGAGTGGGAAGCCCCTGGATTTAAGGGGAAGCCTTCCTTTCTTGTCAGGATGGCTTTGCCTGCACCCGTTTCTCCTTACTTTAAGTGGGGAGAGAGCCTTCCTGGGAGGGTTCACTTGATTTGCCCATCTGCCGAAGGGGAGGCACCATCCTGAGTCGAAGTGGCTTGAGCTGTCGCTACCCAAGATTTCTGTTCAAACACCCAGGATTTTAAGACTCTGTTCTGAGGAGGATTCCAAAGTGGGCACCTCCCTGTCTGCTGCCTGAGGGGCTTCATGTAGCAGTGTGTGTCACCTGTTATGCCCTCAGCCCTGCCACACATGCTGCCCAGAGTGGGAGGGGAAGGTACAGGGACCCAGGGGCCAAGCCATGGGGTGAACTGGTGGCAGTGGGGCTGGCTCAGAATCCAGTAGTTCAGCTCCCATACCTTCCCCAACCCCAGAATGTTATGCCGGCATCACTTCCATCCATCTATTCTCTAGAAATAACATCTCCTCTTTTCTACATGGGAAGAGAGCAGCGCAGAGCAGAAACGAGACTAATTTGCTTACAGAATCTCCCGGCCCTCCTCTCTTCTTTCAACGATGGTGACTTTCCCAAACAATGTTTCGATGAAGTTCCTGGCATCTTCTCTTCCCTGTTGGATTAGCTTCTCCAGCTTGGAATCCGGCTCATCTCGGAGAACAGAAGCCCAAGTCCCTAGAAGTCCCCAAAAATAATAATTCTGCATTGCACCGTCCACTGCAGGAAGCGCAAAGCCTGTTTGGTACACCAAGCTGCAACTCAAAGCTTCACATATAGAATCCTTTAATGTTTGAGGGTCTAAATTAGAAGGTCTTTGTTAGGGCTGGTGCCTCAACCCCCTCAAGAAAGGTAGAAACAAAATAGTTTATGTCAGTGTTTCCCAACCCTTTTCTTGCCATTGGCCTTTTCTGACCTTGTTTTCTTCCTGTGGCACCGCCCCCCCACATGGATGTAGCCCAGGGGGGCAGCTGCCCCCCCAATAAGTAAAAATCAATGCAAATCTGATGCTCCACCCCCCCCCAAATCCTGGCTATGCCCGTGCCCCCTCTTGTCTACTAGCTATTTAAATGTTTTGTTTTTCAATACAACATGTTTCCTTTATAATTTTAATAATTTTTAGAAAATTACATAAAATGATAGAAAGATAATAAAATATTGTTGAAGCAGAAAAACATAGAATCATGGGGCTGGAAGGGACCCCAAGGGTATTCTGTACTTTCTGTAGGGGAAACTACAGATATTGGGCAAAAGGTGCACAGGGAGTTCTGTATATATGGGAGAATTTTAAAAAGCAAGTGGTCCTCACTGACCTGCTGCAAAAAGATCTTGTTATCCGGAGTAGCCCTGGCTGCCTAGATAAAACACTATAGCCCCACACACCTTTACCTGGGAGTACGGCCCACTGAACTCAGTGCGGCTTCCTTCCAAGTAGAGACTTAGTTATTTTCTAGATGCAAGCCAGCAGACTTAGTTATGTACTAGATGCAAGTCAGCACCTTGCGGAGTCAGGCCCAGGCTGCCACCGGGCCTAGCACTGGCAGCAGCATCCAGCACGCCCGGCCTTACCCGTTGCCACCCCACCACCGCACTTACCAGCCCCAGGGGGTTCTGGATCCTGGGCTCTACTGGTCCCGCCTGAAGCAAACCAGGACTGCTCCAAGAAAACACACGTGGCAAAAAGGAGCGCTAGGCCCTGGCGGGTCCCCCTTACCCGCTTGTGATTGGCGAGGCAGATAGACATCCAATCAGGGATTTTTTTAAAAAAAAATTGTTTCCCTTCACTTCTCACTTCCCTCTACCCTTATTTACACCAATTTCACCTGTGGCCACCCCCACCCCCCGGAACATAGCTGTCAACTTTTCCCTTTTCTTACGAGGAATCCTATTTGGAATAAGGGAATTTCCCTTAAAAAAAGGGAAACGTTGACAGCTATTCCTAGGAATATCCTGGGGGCCCCACAGGCCATATGGTACCCGCTTGGGAAACACTGGTTTATGTTATTTCTCAGTCAGGTCCCTTATTTTATGTGGGAAATGGTGTAATTACAGATGCTGTCTGTGCGGGAGCTGAGGCTGAAATATGGTCTAGTATTCTTACTAGGGAAAGGAGCAGACACTCCAGGCACAGGTGGTTTCAGGTGTGGCACAAAACACCTTGGGCTTGTGCCTCTGGGCCACTCGCTAACAACACTCCCTGTGGAATAATCACTTTCTAGATCTATGGAGTGGCTTCCCACCCAGGACCAGTTTTAGGTTTGGTGAGGCCCTCAGCTACTGAAGGCAATGGGGCCCTTTATATGTCCAGCTGTCCTTTGTGAACAACAAATTGTCACATTTTTTGTGTTGAATATATGCCATATGGTAATTTATGGACCTAATAGGTCCATACACAACACAAAACAATGTTGCTGTATGTAGGTTTTATTTTATTTCTTTTTTTATCTTATATTTTGGAAATATACATCCAGTTTTTTCCCCTTTAAATTTTTTTTGGGCCCCCCCAAGAGAATGGGGCCCTAAGCTATAGCTTGTTTAGCTTATACGTAAATCCGGCACTGTTCCCAACACTGGATTATAACTCTCTCTCTAAAATGGGGACATGAGGTTTCTAAAACACAAGGTCTGTGGTCCCAGCTGCGTGTCAGAGAACCTAAATAGGATCCCAGCCAGTTCTTACATAGTTTTGTTCTTCTGGAAATAGTACAGACTGAAGGGGTATTTACAGTTTCCCTATAGATCACCCTCCCCAACTTGGCCTGCTAGCACATCCTCAGGAAATAGACCCCACAAAGCACACAACCCCCCACACAACTTGGTCTGTCAGCAAAGGAAAGAGATCAGCCTTATCCAGTCGTTGGCTATTGACCCTCCAACAGTGATTTGCAGAACGGACTTTGCTCCCACAAAGCCACGTCTAGGACATTTGAAATGTGAGACACCAAGAAGGTGGACAGGACAGGATTTTATCATATGAACTGAAGGCCCTTCCTATATTGGGGCACAACTGAGGGGCAGTAGCAGCAGGCCCAATGCCAACCAACATGTATGCGCCCTTTCAGCCTTAACTTCTTGCAGTGGTTGTTTGCAGGAAAGAGCTTCCTTGTCATGACACTCTGCATGCAAGTTTCCCCAAAGTGATTCCTCTAAGTGGCAGCACCCTAGGAAATCTTTGGAGCTCTTCCTACACTGTGAGTACAGTAGGGCGAACGTATGTCCTACTTCACAGGGAATACCTGAATGGCTGTGTGGTCCAGGTTCAGTCGAAAGAACCCTTGGCTGATCAGACTAAAGACCCATTTTGCCCAGCCACTGAACGTGGAGCTTCAGTTTAGCTAATATTATTATGATAATAATACTAATACTACTAATAATATATTATTTATACCCCGACCATCTGGCTGAGTTTCCCCAGCCACTCTGGGTGGCTTCCAGTCGAGTGTTAAAAACAATACAGCATTAAATATTTAAAACTTCCCTAAACAGGGCTGCCTTCAGATGTCTTCTAAAAGTCAGATAGTTGCTTATTTCTTTGACATCTGGTGGGAGGGCATTCCACGGGGCAGGCGCCACTACCGAGAAGGCCCTCTGCCTGGTTCCCTGTAACCTCACTTCTCGCAATGAGGGAACCGCCAGAAGGCCCTTGGCGTTGGATCTCAGTGTCCAACAGATATCTATCTTGCTAAATTTACACCCCAAAAGGTGGAACGCAAGGCAGCTGCTAGCCTGATGTTGACCTTCCACTCACCTGTCAGGATGGCCAAGGCCAGTGTGAGGATGAAGAACTTCATGGTGCTTTGGCGGAGGGTCCTGAGAACCTGCTGGGATGAAGGTAGGGGCTGTCTCTGAGTCCGGGGAGCCACGAGGGAGGCTACTTATTCCTCCCAATCTCCTCCTCCTCCTCCCTCGCCTCCTGGGTCACTCATTAACATTGTGGGGCTATTGGAGGGCAGGTGCCTTTGAGGGGGAACCTTCCCTTGTTGTCTCCCATGGTCATTGCTACAGAGAGGCTAACCTTAAAAAAAATCCTGATTTAACCAAAGAAGGCAACACAGGATATCCAAAGACACGACAGCACGTCTGCACATGCGCAGGTCGCGTTTTGCCGCTTCCGCGCATGTGCGTGACGTCATTTTGAGCGTCTGCGTGAGCAGCGAAACCTGGAAGTAATGCGCTCCGTTACTTCCGGGTCATTGCGGAGCGCAACCCGAAAGCGCTCAACCTGAAGCACATTCAACCCCAGGTATGACTGTATTTTTATTATTCTTTCTCACAATTATATTTCCCCCACTTTCCCGCCAAGGAGCTCAAGGTGGCACTCTTTGGTCTCCCTTTCCCTGTGTTTTCCTCACAAAAACCCTGTGAGGTAGGTTCGGCAATGACAAAGGGACAACGACAGGCCCAAAACCACACCGTGAGCTTCACGGCTTAAGTTATTTTATCTCTGTTCTCCCCAGGCCACTTAATAGCCGCCTTATTCCACATTCTAGTAGTGGTGTTGGGAGTCTGCATTGTGAGGAACCTGCCAGGGCCTGTACTCCCACAGGGTTCCCACTGCCAACCTCTTCAGCTCCTCGATTTTGTTGCTCCTCTGCCTTGCTGCCTCTTGTCTGCAGGCAGGTGAGGAAAGAGGAAAGAGAAGGAGCAAGAGTTTCACTCCCTTGCCTTCTCCCTCAGGCTTGCTGGACAACTTGGGGCCAAAGAGGGTGGCCATTTCCCCAGCATCCTGTTTCCAACAGTGATCAGCCTGATTGCCTCTGAAAAGCCCATATGCTGAGCATGAAGGCAACAGGAACTCCCCCCTCCCCCCCAAAACCCCACATTTATTGCTTGCTTTCCTGGAAGTGTCCCTGCTGCTGAATATGCGAGTCCAATTTCACCTTTTTTATTTGTACTTATTTTCAATCCCAGTGTGGGGAACAAAGTAATAATGATAAACAAAGGGTGGAAAAAACAATTACGAAACCTTGGAAACCTGTCCAATAAACAACAATTCAGTAATGTTGTCTGTCATAAGGCAAACCGGCAGAGACACAAAGAGGACAAACATTTTAAATTTCCAATTTAACCAAGTGCCTAGCTGAAGGAAAATACAGGGCATTCAAACGGATTAACGAAACAAAATGTTTAAAATGTGTAGCCAACAAAGGGGAAGGCGAGGCAGCTTCTAGCCTGATGGTCATTGTCAGGATGACCAAGGCCATTGTGAGAATAAGGAAATTCATAGTGGTTCAGTGGAGGGTCCTGAGATTCAGCTGGGATGAAGGCAGGGCCCATCTCTGAGCAGGGGGAGGACGGATTCTTTCCATCCATGTCCTCCCCTGTTTTGCTACCCTGTGGAAGAAAGTGATTTTGACACTCCCCCCCTCCCTCAACTTGCATAATCCCATTGCAACATTCCTTATTGCCAGGAGGGGCAATTGTGGGGTTTTCTTCCCTTCAAAGGAAGGAAATGAATGGACCTGTTTTTGTTCCCTTCATCTCTATGGAGAAAAGTGCCTTCTGTTAATCATGAACAAAATGCAGCTTTTAGGACCCACCAGAACTTATCAAAGCCTCAAACCACTGCCAATACCAGGGTTACCTGAACCAAGCCTAAAGACACCTATATATGCCAACACAAAATATTTTGCATTCCCCAAAGACAATGATCTCTAGTAATGTTAATAGAAGCATTAGCATAGGTGGACAACACTGAGGCAGAGGAGGCAATTAAAAGGTTAACTCGAGTTTATTTTAAGGGAATCAAAGTTTACAGAGTACTAAGAGTGAACAAGAAGGACTATGGGCGAAAGAATAAAACAGAAATGCCATTTACTTCGACTTAGGTGTGATGGCACGGACACCATCTTGTAACCAGTCAGCAGAAACTACCACTATGTAATGAGAAATTGGAACCACGTATCTGGAACAATGTGTAGACATCAACAGGGACATCTGGTTTATGATATGAGCTACAGAAGAGACCACCACATCTTCTGTCTGTCTTGGGGTTGGCCAAGGTTCCATCCTCCATGGTGTGCAAAACAATCACCACCATCATCACTGACTTGGGGGAAAGGTAGGGGCTTCAACCCACTTCTTAAACTTCTCAGCGCGTTCTTGGAGTGCCTTGAAAATACGGCTAAAATAAGGCTGCAGAATCTGGTTGACTCTCTCCACTCCTTCCTCAAGCTTCTCCTGGACCTGGTCAACGTAGGGGTCTATGGATGACCGGAATTCTTGCAGTTCCTGCTGGAGAACTTCAGCGTAAGGGGCCAGCTGATCTTTCAGGTCTTCCAGCTGCTGCTTCAGCTTCTCGTTCAGCTTGGGGTTCAGCTCTTCGGCCTTGGCCACGAGGGAACGCTGCAGGGAATTTGAGTACCGACCCACCTTCTCTAGGACCGAATCTGCGTAAGGTGCCACAATGGTGTACAGAGCCTCCGCCAGCTCGTCTGAGGCAGGCGATACCTTTCTATGCAAGGCACGGATGGTGTTGAGACTTTTGTCCACCACGCCCAGCGACGCCCCAACCACCAGGTCGTACCCTTGAACCACCTCAGCAGGTAACTTCTCCTTCAGGTTGTGCAAGCGCTTGCTCATTTTTGCAAAGCTGTTATGGAGCTTGTCTCTGCAGGGGGTGGAAATAAAACAGAGTCACAAAAGGTAAGCAGAACTCCCTTCTTTGAGTGAGAAGCTCCTGGACTGGAGAGATGGGGTGAGGCCAGGTTGCCTTCCCCATCTCTGATGTTATGCCAGTGGCAGGAGGGCATATCATTGTGGGCCTCCGCTCCCTTCAAAGCATCACTTGCATGTTCCTCCTCCAATCTGCTGCCCGCCAGGCTGACATAAGGGAAAAGAGACAGTGGATATGGGATTCCATGGAATGCAAATTGTACTATGTGATGGGAAAGTTTGTTTGCTGGCCAGTTTGGGTCACCAAGTGTTGTTGTTGTTTGCCAGCAAGCAGTTGGCTGGCAACGGCATCTGATTGGCCAGAGTTCCAGGGGAGGGATATGATTGGTTTGGAAAGGTTAGACAGGTTTCAGATTGGGAGAGAGGGTGAAGGGGTTCTGAGGGGAAAAGGAGATACACATAGGGAGAGGACAGAGCCTCACAACTCGGATAGGGAGACCAGGCTGAAGGTCTGGGGAAGGTGTCCAAACAGGAGTGTGCTGGGAGGGCTGAGTCTGAACCAGGAGAGACAGATCCTGTGGGAATTTAGGCTCCCAGGGTCACTGGCGAGGGGAGCGCACCGCCCCTGGCACCATCGGGGGGGTACCATCATCGCCGCCCCTGGACACATGCCACACCCCCTGACCGCACTGGATGCCACGCCCCCAGGACACATGTCAAGCCCCAGTGGCCAGTGCGCCACGCCCCCGGGACGTATACCACGCCCCCGCAGGTGGCATGCCACACCCCTGGGACACGCGCCAGCCACGCCCCCGCCTGCTCTCCGCCCCCAAAGCCAGAGCATGCAGCTTCGCCACTGCCCCGGGTGTCAGTCTAACAAGGAGGGGAGAATTCTTCTAGGTACTGAAGACTCCCAACCCAGTGACAAGGGGAGAGGGGATCCTCTGGGTCTGTAATACCATTTATAATACCTCAGGTGTGGGATTGTTAAGAGAGGGGGTAACTGAGGGAAAATGCCCCTTGCTCATGAACCAAAGTATTAAGCTGTGAAGGAAGCAGTATAGTGTTGAAAGTGTTGTACAGTGGTACCTCAGGTTAAGAATTTAATTCGTTCTGGAGGTCCGTTCTTAACCTGAAATTGTTCTTAACCTGAGATACCACTTTAGCTAATGGGGCCTCCCACTGCCACTGCGCGATTACTGTTCTCATCCTGAAGCAAAGTTCTTAACCCGAGGTACGATTTCTGGGTTAGCGGAGTCTGTAACCTGAAGTACCACTGTATTATCTAAGTGACAGACATTTTACCGTCTCTTCTGGTAACCTGAATATTTATCTACCTGAAGTGTGCCAACCGATGTTTAGTAACCGAAGTTTAAAAAGAGTTGTACCTATAACATTGTGTTTAAGCCTGAGACATCTTCTAGTTAAAGTAACTAAGTTGATTTCTACCTGAAAGAACAAGTTTTCTGACCCACTTTGTGTCATAAACTTCCTTTGTTTAAGAATACTTTTCGTGCTTGTTTGATCAACTCCTGCCTGAGACTCTAAATCTTTAAGTTTTCCCTCACACAAGTCCCCCACTAGATAATCGGTGGTAAATTGTAAAAATTTGTGTAATTGGTGTACCGTGAGGTAGTCACACTAAATTTAATTGAGGGCGGGCACAACGGCGCCAGGGTGAGAAAGTGCTGTTGCGCCGTTGCAACTGCAATAAAACACATTCTGAGAAATAAAAGAAGCAATACAATGCAATTAAAACCAGACAGCAACTAGCACAAATGCTACACCAGGCAGAAAAAAAACCATTAATGGTCCATAAAGGCCATCAAGTGGTTGGTGGGGGACGGGATAAGTTTGGGAACCACTTGGTGTGAAAATATTGGCTTGAATCGCTTACATCACTGACTGTCCAAGCTCCGACCTTCTGATCACCTCTATTTTTTCATCAACTACCCTGGTGACGTTTCTCAGGTATTCCTGAAGCTCCATGTTTAACCGGGCCAGGTGAGGATACGGCTCATCTCGGAGGACATACGCCTGGGATCCTGGAAGACAAAAGCAAATCTGAACAGCTGTATCTGTGGCTGAAGGTGGAGCTCAGAGGGAAGAGTGTTACAACCACATGCGAACCAAACCATTGTTTTGCAAAACAAATGTCTTAGGAGGCACAGTTTCACCCCCAAGGGCTGAGGCCGATGCAATTTTTTTAAAAAGTTTTTATTATTAAAATAATTCAGCATTAATACACACATATTGCGAATATACAAGCATACAAACATCCTTAAAAATGTTCAAACATACCTACACTCAATCCCACAGATAATTCCTTTTCCCATCACCATCCACCACCCATCACCCCACCATTGTGTTAGACTTCCAATCTACTCGATTGCAATTTCTTTCCACTTATGTTACTTTCTTTCACACACCTTTAACCTAATTTCACGCTCCTTTTTCTATTACACATTGTTATCCATCTTATTTAGTATTTCAGTATTTAAAACGGAACTTGTTTATTCTAATTGGAGTTCTGATTTTTCGATATGGTTTTGCAAGTATCCTTTAAACACTTTCCAGTCCCTGTCGATCTTCTCTTTTGAGATCCTTCCCATTTGGTATTATACCAACAAAAACAGAGTGGCTTACCAAATTATTGGAGTATTACAATATATCCAAAACAATGGGAGAAATGGGGAGGCCGATGCAAATTGTAGTCTAAAACCTCTGAAGGGCACCAGGTTGGGAAAGGCTGAACTTGGAAAGCAGGATGGATTAGAGAGGCCTGGATTCAAATCCCTCACTTGGCTATGAAGCTCATTGACTGACCCTCACCTAGTCGCAATTTCTTGGCCTATACTACCTTGCAAGGGTGTTGTGAGGATAAAAGGAAATCAACCTGAAGGAATTGCCTCGTGTATGGTGTCATGAGCTTCTTGGAGCAAGGGATTTGAGAGAACAAATAAGTGTTCTTCTCACCCCTTTCCAAGCCTGATTACTTCTACTGGTGTACTGTGGGAATGGATGTCGGCAAAGTTCATAGTTGGATGGAATTCTTGAGACAGGAATTGTTCGGTGCAATGCAAAAGCTTGCTACATTGGCGGTGTACGCTACCTTTTAAACACATTTGAAGCACACACACACACACACACACCTCCGCACCGAAGGATTCTGGGCACTGTAGTTTACCCTTCACAGAGTTACAACTCCTAGCAACCATTAACAAACTAGAAAACAAGAAAATATAACCTCTGGACCAGAGAACTCCACCCCCCCCAAAAAGCTTGGAAATTGCTGTGGATTGTGTCATACTACTTAATGATTTTTCTACCTGTATGGTTCTTAGTTGTATTCTAATTGCTTCTTTTATTTCTTATGTTGTGTTTTATTACGTTAGGATTTGAAGTCTCTACAGTAATGCCTCTACAAACGTCCGCCCCCTCGACCGTCCATTTCGGCGAACGTCCGCGGCAAAGTCCGGAAGTACTGGAACGGGTTACTTCCGGGTTTGCCGTTTGCGCATGCACAGAAGTGCTAAATCGCACTTTGAGCATGCGCAGAAGCGCAAACGGCTCCACGCGCATGTGCAGAGCGGTGCTTTGTCGAGCGTCCCTTTCGTCGAGCATCCGGGGCTCTGGAACGGATTCTGGACTCAAAACAAGGTATCACTGTATACTGTTTCTAGGTTTTCCATAGTCGTCTGGTTGACCACTGTGAGAACTGGCCTAGATGGGCCATTGGCCTGATCCTGCAGGCTTTTCTTATGTTCTTTTTTTATTTATTTCTTCTTATTTATTTATTTATTACATTTATATTACATTTTTCCTCCAAGGAGATCCAAGGAGATCCAGGTGGCATACCTGGTTCTCTTGCTCCCCATTTTAACCCCCCTACAACTCTGTGAGGTGGATTATACTGAGAGACAGCGGCTGGTCACCCAAGACATAAAAGACGCGAAACAAATTCAATTAAAAATCAATATGACTATCTAAGGCGCGGACCACCTGAATGAAGCTCACAGACCACTGGTGGTCCATCGACTCCTGATGTGGACCATTTTGGGTCATACCTGAATTGAGAGCCAGTCAGGAGGAGGAGGAGGAGGAGGAGGAGTTTGGATTTGATATCCCGCCTTTCACTCCCTTTAAGGAGTCTCAAAGCGGCTAACAATCTCCTTTCCCTTCCTCCCCCACAACAAACACTCTGTGAGGTGAGTGGGGCTGAGAGACTTCAAAGAAGTGTGACTGGCCCAAGGTCACCCAGCAGCTGCATGTGGAGGAGCGGGGAATCGAACCCGGTTCCCCAGATTACAAGTCCACCACTCTTAACCACTACACCATACTGGCTCTCAGGAGGTGTTGGGCCAGTCAGATTAAAAAACAAACAAATGATCGCAGAATCATTGCATTGGAAGGGACCCCGGGGGTCATCCAGTCCAATCCCCTGCGATGCAGGAATCCTGCCCTGCGTTCGAATCCAGCCAGCCATCCCTGGGCAGACTCGAACAACGAACCTTCTGGTAAACAATGTATCTTTTGACCATTGTGCCTCAGACCCCCAAGGATGGGGCAAACTGAAGAGGTCGCCCCCCCCGAAAAGAATTCAGGAATTCCCTCCAGCCTGAGGCAAATCCTTCACTTACCTACAAATGCTAGCAAGGCCAGCGTGATGACAGGGAACTTCATGGTGGTTCTGTTGGAAGGTCCTTCTGAGAACCAGTGAAGTGAAGGCAGGGTCTCTCTCTGAGAGATATATATGATCCTTTCCTTCCGGGCCCACCCCTGCCTTCTGTCATTTATTAACGCAGGCCGCTGACCTGACGTCTTCTCCATCCCCGAGTTATTGCCAAAGTCTCCAAAAAGCATTGCAACAACAACGAAAAAGGGGGTGCACTGACTGGAATAGGCTGAATCGGATGGCTTGATAAGCAAAGTGAGATGGCTGCAATGGACAAAAGATATTCCCCTCTATCAAGGAAGACATTCCTCTGTCAACCTTGGTTTTATCTCCAGGAATTGATTGACTCAGAAACTTCCCTGATTTGTGTGAGATGGGCTCTGTGGGCCAAACCCCTTGGGGGAAGAGGAAGTCTGAGAACTCATCTATGAACTCATCAGCAGCGATGATGATCTTACGTTTGGTTCCTCTTAACTCCGGAGATGAGTATCCACTAACAAAAGGCATTGTCGGATATATCTGATGAAGCGGACTGTAGTCGTGAGCGTAGCCAGGATTTATGGAGGTGGGGGACAGGACACCCACCTGTCGCCATCCTCCGTCTGGCTCTGTCTATCACTCAGTCAGGTTGACAGTTGTGTCACTAGAATACGCCACAACATCACCCAAGTGACCTCAAAGAGCCTTTCCGTTTCAAAGATCATAATTATTTCTACTTTTAGTCTACAATATGTTAATCTTTATTGTCATTGTCCCATACAGAACAACAAAATTGAAAAAATCTACATCAGACATTCAAAAACCAACAACCCTAAAAACTCTGTTACCCCATAATTAAATACAATATACTCCCACAGAGACTACCTTATACAGTGGTACCTCGGGTTAAAAACTTAATTCATGTCTCATGGCCAGAGTCCGTTCTTACACCTCCGAAACTTTGTCTTAACCTGAGGTACCACTGTCTAGCTAATGGGGCCTCCCTGCCTGCCTGTCCCAGCATCGATTTCTGGTCTTCTCATCCTGGAAGCAAAGTTCTTAGATCCCTAGGTACTATTTCTGGGTTAGCTGGAGTTCTGTAGACCTGGAAGCGCTCTAGTAACCTCAGAGACTACCACTGTACTGCGTTTAAAACCAAAATCGCATTTAGATAGAAACTGTTTCTCAGGCGGCTAGTCCTAGTCTTTATAACCCTGTACCTTCTTCCAGAAGGCAGAAGCTGAAAGAGATCATTTCTGGGGTGAACACTATCCGGTACTATCTCTGCAGCTTTCTTATGGCACCTGGAAGCATAGATATGATCTACTTAATAAAAATACTTATTTACTTGATGGGGGGGCAGTTGTCCCTCCTGGCTATGTCCATGAAAGCTTATGACAAGGGTGGATATACAGGCCCCCTCCACTTATTTGGGGGTTATGTTCCAGGGCCCCCACCGCACACATATGTGAAATCTCATAAAGTGGGGAACACTCTCTCGTAAGCCTCCAAATGCCCATTTTCCCCTGATCCGCACCTCTTTCTCCCACTGTCTCTCCACATAACTCTCTCTCAAAGAGAGTCGAAACTCTGAGGCCAGCGGGAGCCTGGAGGTCATGGGAAAAAGCGGTCGTGGCTGCGCTACCCCGTGTGTCAGCTGCTAGGCGGGGAGGCTGAGCAGCCTAAATAAAACCCCACTGTGCTTCCAGTCTATAGTGGTACCTCTGGTTGCGAACGAGATCCGTTCCAGAGGCCTGTTCACAACATGAGCAGAACGCAACCTGCGTCTGTGTGTGCGCGGGTCGTGATTCGCCGCTTCTGCGCATGCGCGTGACGTCATTTTGCGCGTCTGTGCGAGCGGCGAAACCTGGAAGTAACCCTTTCCGGTACTTCCAGGTTGCCGCGGGATGCAACCTGAAAACGCTCAACCCTGCATCCCTGCATCCCTGAAGCAAACATAACATGAGGTATGACTGTATTTTGGACTTCCTCCACCCTCACTGATGTCCAGAGAGGCGGGACTCCTTGTGAGCCATGAGGACTCTCCAGCTCTCTCCTGCCATTTCCTTTTTTAAAAAAATCAATTTTATTACTGCATTTTATATTTTACATAAACAAATTAATTAAGGTCCCATTGTGGACCTTAATGTAATGATTTTCCCCTCAGCATCTCTTTCACAACTATATTTTTTATAAATCCTTTGTCAATCCGTAGTTTCTCTCCTGCCATTTCCTGGTGGGATTCTATTTATTTAATTTCTATTTCCCAGCGCTGCGCATATATGTGGCCATGTGCAAGTAGAATGTGAGTAAATGGGGGCGGGATTGCCTGGAACCTTTTTCAACCTGGGGGGGACCATGTCTTCTTCCAGACCAGCTTCTGGGGGCCACATTCAGAGGCAGGCAGGGCCAGAGTTAAAACGGGGCAGAGCACTGAATGTAAATTTTACCTTCGTAAAGCGAGCTAGTTTCTGCACACACATCATGCTTGCTCACATGTTCAGGGTTAGCAAGAGCCATTATCCGAATTCAAGGACGTGTTCCAGACAAGCAGAAACACTCAAGGAGAATGTGAAGCAAGCTTGATGAGAGGGGTGGCCTTGTGGGGGTGAGACTGGCGAGGACTGAGAAGAGTCCATTATCCATATGTTAGACCTGAAGGTGCCCCGGGATTGTTGGTAGTTTTCGCTACAACGAATGGGTACATCTACTCCCCTCTGAATAGTAAAGGTAAAGGGACCCCTGACCATTAGGTCCAGTTGTGACCGACTCTGGGGTTGCGACACTCATCTCGCTTTACTGGCCGAGGGAGCTGGCGTACAGCTTCCGGGTCATGTGGCCAGCATGACTAAGCCGCTTCTGGCGAACCAGAGCAGTGCACGGAAACGCCGTTTACCTTCCCGCCGGAGCAGTACCTATTTATCTACTTGCACTTTGACGTGCTTTCGAACTGCTAGGTTGGCAGGAGCAGGGACCGAGCAACGGGAGCTCACCCTGTCGCAGGGATTTGAACCGCCGACCTTCTGATCAGCAAGTCCTAGGCTCTGTGATTTAACCCACAGCGCCACCCGCGCCCCACCCCTCTGAATACTGTCCTGTTTAAAAAGTGGAAGAGCTTTAGTTCTCCATCCTGAAATGTAAAGGCCAGAAACGCACATCCTAAGTGCTTCTGTGGGAAGCATTGTGAAACGCAGATGTTTCTCAAGGGTGCAGGAAAAACACCTTGGGAAACGAAGGCTTAAGAACAAGAAGTTACAGTGGTACCTTGGTTCTCAAACGTAATCTGCTCTGGAAGTCCGTTCCAAAACCAAAAGCGTTCCAAAACCAAGGCGCGCTTTCCCGTAGAAAGTAATGCAAAACGGATTAATCCATTCCAGACTTTTAAAAACAACCCCTTAAACAGCAATTTAACATGAATTTTACTATCTAACGAGGCCACTGATCCATAAAATGAAAGCAATATTCAATGTACTGCAGTCACACAATCCATCAATCAGTAGCTGAACTGGGTTCCACGCGGTCACAAAAACAAAACAAAAAAGAGCTGCAAAAAGAAAAACGCAAAATAAATTGCAAAAACAGACAGACCTCGGTGTAGCACTCAAATCGTCAGCGTAACACTCAAAACGGAGCACGTTCGGCTTCCGAAAAAAGTTCGCAAACCGGAACACTTACTTCTGGGTTTGCAGTGTTTGGGTTCCAAGTTGCTTGAGTACCAAGGCGTTTGAGAACCAAGGTACCACTGCAATTACCATTTTAAAATGAAATGTAAAATGAGCAATCCACCGCTAGAGGGCGTTGAAGACTGGATTAGATGGTTTGGAGCAGTATTCCTACATTTATCTAGCCTGCAGAACGACTGCTGCATCAAATTCCGTGGATCCCATTGGCTCAAGGATCAAAATGGGACAGCGCAATCTAAGGACAAGGCACCCCATGAACAGGTGATTCAGAGAGGATGAGTCCGTCACTCAGAGCCGGCCTCTTTTCTTGAAACCACCCCAGTGTGTGCCTTGCAGTTAAAGCAAGGAGGCTGTTTTTCTGGCTTTCTTGACATGATCTATGAATCATAACCAAAAAGCTCAAGGTGGTGTCTGTTATCCTCCCTTCCCTTTTAGCATGCAACAGCCCTGCGAGGTAGGCCCAGGGTCACACACACACCATGCATTTTTTAAAAATATTTTTTTATTAAGCAAATTCCACATAACAAATTATCAGACCATATAATCACATCCATTATCCCCCCCCCCCCACAACCAGCTCCTCTCTCTGATTTCTCTGCACATATTATTCTCTGGATGTTATAAAATGGGTCGGGTCATGTGGCCAGCATGACTAAGCCGCTTCTGGCAAACCAAAACAGCGCACGGAAACGCCGTTTACCTTCCCGCCGGAGCGGTACCTATTTATCTACTTGCACTTTGACGTGCTTTCGAACTGCTAGGTTGGCAGGAGCAGGGACTGAACAACGGGAGCTCACTCTGTCATGGGGATTCGAACCACCAACCTTCTGATCAGCAAGTCCTAGGGTCCGTGGTTTAACCCACAGCGCCACCCGTGTCCCTGAAATGCCCAGGTAGGCTTGTCTAAAAGCTCTGCCTTCATGTCCTCAAGTGCAGCTTGATCTGCAGAAACCAGCCATTGACTATTTTCATTGCGATGGTGAAGCACGACCCTATGCCAATCCCGGCAGACCAAGCTGTTGCGCATGAGAACCGCGACCTGTGAAACGAAGGCTTGGCAATGCCCCGTGTGCTTTTCCGCAAAACCCACGAAGAACTGCAGTTATTTTGCTGCAAAAGCTGATGAAGGGTGGTTTGTGTTTGCCCAGGGCAAAGATCTCCCAATAAAAGGTAAAGGGACCCCTGACCGTTAGGTCCAGTCATGGACGACTCTGGGGTTGTGGCGCTCATCTCGCTTTACTGGCCAAGGGAACAGGCGTACAGCTTCCGGGTCATGTGGCCAGCATGACTAAGCCGCTTCTGGCAAACCAGAGCAGCGCACAGAAATGCCGTTTACCTTCCTGCCGGAGTGGTACCTATTTATCTACTTGCACTTTGACGTGCTTTCGAACTGCTAGGTTGGCAGGAGCAGG